ATACACAAGCCTAAGCAAGCTCTTATATTCCGGGGAAAATGTATGATAAATTATTGTTATTTTACAGATCAGACATTATGCCAAAGCACGCCACATTCTGCCAACACAACACCAGCGATGCATCATGGGAATAGACTGCCGAATGCCTCTCTGGAAATAAACAAAAACCTGAAAAGTCTGATATCAACGAATAGCAAAGTTCACTCTCATCGCCGGAAAACTACACACGGTCCTTTTGTTAATCCACTCACTGATGGACCTGTGAGCTATCTACACACGCTAACTTCGTAATGCTAAAAATGCAATCCTGCAATGCAGAGTTCACGCTCGGTTATCCGTGGGTGCATTTACCAGCGTTGATGATTAACCGTGATTGCCAAAAACAAACATCCTTTTCTTTGCCGTGTTCATACATTTTAATAGCATAGGTTGCATTTATTGCATAATATCCGTGTTGTTTTTATTTTATCTCAATCACCCTTCACCCATTTTCCCAAGAGTTGACCATACGCTAGATCTGGAGGTTAAAATACCCCACAACACTGGTTTAATAATACAAAATAATATATAATTATTTGTCAATCCACTGCTGGATAAAGGCCCTCTCTGCCCCGTGTCCATTAAAGATTATGTTTAACCTCGCTGGTCAGTACGCAAGGTTGCCACCTATTCCCACCGTGAGACCAAACACCGGACATTTCTCAGCCAGAACTAGGCTTATCAAAACCGTGCAGTATACCGTCATACATCTTAACTCAACACCGTTACGAGATCTCTGTACAAATCAATTTCTGCACACGCACACACGCAGATGCCAATTTTCGTCAACCCCGAACGGGCGGCAAACACCCTATCATATCATATCATCACTTGCCACCGATGTTAACCGTGGCAAGGGAATCGAACTCATGTTGCCTTAGATTCATAGTTTTGGCACGGCTTAAAAAGCCAATGTGCCAACAAACTCCCATCGCTCTGTATCTAGAGGTGAAAATCTCTGTTCTGCCAACGCTGGAGCCATGGGGCGCGTGACACGTGGACACGGACGCGCACGCGCGTGTTTGACGTTGTCGCGGCAACCGAACAAGAGTTGGGGGGATGTGTGTGGGGGGGTGCTGGAAATAAAAAAAAATTAATGGGGGCCCTCTTATCTCTACACTCTCAGGTCCAGGAAAATTCCTCCCGAAAACAAAGACGAACCCCAACAACAAACAAAAAAGGCTGACATGCATTCAATAAAAAAGCCACGCGCGCACAAGCTTGTTTCATTGTCCTTTTGCTACATCAAGCTGCGATGTGGTAAATGTAGAGGTTATGGCAGCGGGCTCGGGTGAGCCGAGCGAATCAGCGCTGCACATTGAAGTTGGAGCGTTAAGTTCGAATCCTGGTCAGGGTTAACGCATTTCCAATCTCGCCATCGTCATCACCACCATAAAATCGCACATCTTCATACAATTGTACTCTACACGGTATGGAACATTGATATTAGTATCAAAAAGGTGACACAGTATAGTAAAATTAGGGCACTTTATTCAGCGAACGCCCTAATTGTAGACAATAATTGTAAACTTATTTTGCTATGATTGGCTCAGCATGTGGAAATCCTGACACTACCGTATTATAAATTGTGAAACTTGGATGACAGTGCCTTTAGAATAACATCGGCCACCCATTTCAGTTTGTCTTTGTCCCTCGACTCCCTCCTGTGATCAGCACACTTTGAGTGGGCATCATTGCCGGCGGCTCAAAATAACCTGGCCAGTGCAGCTCACTGCAACGATACACTTGCAATTATTGTAAAACACAAGGCATTCAAGTGCAAGGGTCTGATTCGTCAATTTAGCAGTTTTTTGTGGGAGGGGTAGAAAATCAACAGAATATATTTTTCATTGAAAATCCGGTGGTAAACCCAACTGCAATGATAGCTACTTTGTTATAATCAAATGCGTAGACTATCTTTTTCAGTGCCAAATTATTATGTTTTATCTTTAACCGAGATGGATTATCTTTTGTGTTGGGGGTGGTGTGCTGTGATTAACGTGTTCGTTTCCCAGAATTGTCCTGAACATAACTACAGTATATTGGATGGAGTTTGTGAGATGTAGCTTTATACATTGCGTGCTACATTTTAATTCTGCAAAATATTAAAAAAATCGTGTTCGCATGTAGGAAATGTTTTTTTGGAACGACGTATGTATTATTTGTCCCAAAATTTTTCCAAATAAAACAGGACACTTATCGGAATCTAAAAATGGTTAATTGTAAATTAGTAGTCCAATTATCTGTTGCCCAATTTATGTCGCTTGCCATTGGAAAGCAACTTAATAAATTATGCAAACATCGGGAACGTGGCCTTAAATTAGTACTGTACTGTGTCTGGGGCGGCTTGCAAACATCAGCATTGGGGAGACAAAGGCAGCCGGGCGGTGGTGCTATCGGACTTCATAGGTGCTCGCTAACACCACTCGCCCCAGCAGTCTGTTAAGGTCTACACGTGGGTGGGGGGGGGGTAATCTTCGTCGTATTGCTCATCACGAGTTGATATTGAGTGGCGTTGAGCAGGTGCTTTGCCTCGAATTGTAAATTGCTTTAGGTAGGTGTGGCCTCTACTCACGGCGTGAATTGATTTTTCAATTCATTAACACCATGGGATTGATTCGTTGAGTTGGTATCTGGTTATGGGTCTTTCGGTAAAGTCACGGTAAAGTCTTTGAACCTATCTACGCGACTTTACCGAAAGACACACAGAATATGAATTCCTGCAGCCACGAAAGCTTTAAGTCGAGAAGATGCGTGTTGTTAACTTCGCAATACACTAGTATCGCTAGATCGAATACTGCATGGTACGTGTATAATAGTTGACTGTGTACTGTATAATAGTTGATCATTTATAATATAACTCGATAAACGCTGCGAGGATACGTTGTGGGTGGTAGAAGGCAGTGGAACAAAACTAACTGTTGTAGTGTACTTCTATGCTTACGCGTCTAATGCTCCACAGCCTTCAGCAAACCCTCGCCCACCATGGACAACAAATACGCATAGCTCATGGAATAACTCTATGAGCTATGAAGACTTCGTTTTCACAGGTGTCCAGCCAAAAGCTGGGGTCAGAAATGGTATAAATCTAGAGAGGCGAGCGTGATGAAGTATGGTTTAACACCCCTCACCCCCAGCAGCAGTGGGTTGACACAAGTGGCTGTACATGTTTCAAGTTTCATTCATTAGGTATAGCCCTGTGAGCCATGCGGCTCTTGAGTCGGGTGCAACAGCAACAAACTAAATATGAACAGAGAACATCTTACAGCGACGACGCGCAACAGAAACATCCTGGATAGATCAGCAAATCTTGCAGAAAAAAACCCACCGTATTACAACGCTGTGTGCAAAAATCCCAGTGTGATGTAAGTCAAACATTAACAGCCATAAGACAATTTAGATTAAAGTTATCAGGCCAACTCTGCAACTTGCCACGGTGGCGAGATGTTACTTACCTCGCCTGGTATACAGGAGGTCGTGGTGTTCGATCCCGACCCTGACGCCTGCTTTATATCTGGAGCTTGCATGTTCTCCCCGTGGTCGCGTGGATTTTTCTCCGGCTCCTCCGGTTTTCCCCTCCACATTTTGAAACAACATGCGTTTAGAGTATTTGGCTGCTATACATTTCCACGTGATAAGCCACTTCGTTGAGCTATCATTTGTGATAGCCAAGTCGCTTCTGAAAAAGAGCTATATTATCGCTCAGTGGGCCTTACCTGGTAAAATTAATACAAAAAAGTGTCATAGTAGTGGGGAGAAACTTTCATGCCTGTCGAGCGCAGTGTTTCTAATTGCAAGGCCCCTGATGGCCTTTAGTTTGGCCTTTGACGTGCGGCCCAACACAAAGAGTGAAAACACCCCCCATCATCATCATCATCCTCGTGCTGCTGTCAAACCCACCCAATTGTTTCAAATGGTGTGGCTCCTCTCTGAAAAGTAGTGCAGGACGTTTAACACGTAGGCTTTCGCGAGCAATATTATCTTATCAATGGTAACGTTTTTTTGGGGGGGGGTTAGATCGCGTTAATCTAAATGTGTCGTCGTTAAACCTGCCACCAGCCAACAACCCTGCCAAATAGGAAAGTTCGTCACGGAAACAGAACGTGCCAATTAGTTACTAATTCAGCACACCGGCGTGTTGGAGAGCAAATGCTGTGTTGCTGAACGATTAACTAATTGGCACGATTTGTTTTGCGTGTCGAAACTTACTAATTGGCTGTGTCGGGTGGCGGCGGGTTTAACGACGACACATTTATATTTACGCAAATCTAATCACAAACAACAACAAGATCCCCCTTCATTATGACCACTGGTCTAGCGACATCTGGCGAACTTCTAAACGTGCGTTCGGTCACTGTTGATGACAACGATGTCCATTCCCCCACAAAGACAAAGATCCCCCGTGTAGCCTTAACAGCCTGCTGGGGCAAGTGCTGTTAGCGAGTAGCACCTAATGAAGACCGGCACGGCACACGAGAGAGGGGGGTGTGTGGCCATCACCATCTCTCCAGTGGCAATGTTTACTACACACCGCTACACCAGGTATTAATTTGAGGCTTGGTCGACCTAGGGGAGGCCCAGTACCAGTTCAGATAATCGTCACCGATGTTGGTATTCCAAAGAACACAGGATGAGATGTTACTATCCTTTGTGCAAGCACTTCCAAGAGTTCATGAACAGTGAGCCTGGTGAAATTTGGGGAGCGCATCGTCAGTAGACCCTTTGGGTCCTAGGGTGTTTCGGCCTTTCATACTATACACCCTCCCCAAAGGCGGCCAGCGACAGGGTGATCAATCCTACGCTTGCGTCCCATTCCCAATTAGTCATAGGAGTTGCCTTGTTGTTGGTAGCCAACATCCCACGGTAAACCCGTGAGCGGGAATCGAACCGGGATGACCGGGGTGCGTGGCGCAGTGCGCTAACCGCTGCACCACCGCTCCCCCCACGTGCCCCCCCCCCACGCACCCAGCGCCCGCCCATCCAATCCCAGTAATTAACGCCGCCGGCTGCTGCTGCTTGCTGCTTGTGGGGGGCAGGAGGTAGTTAAATTGAGCCAAAGGTGCGTCGCTGGGTGAGAAGCGAGCAAGGGTTATTCGAAGCAAAGGAGGCTTGTGGAAGAAGGACAACGGGGAGAGCGAGCGAGCTGAAAGCGAAGTCAAAGACAAGCGAGAAGAAGCCCTCTTGTAGAAGCCATGGCCGACACGCAGCGTTCCCCTCGCTACGACCTGGTGGTGTTCGGTGCCACGGGCTTCACGGGGCAGTACGTGGTGGAGGAGGTGGGCCGAGTCGCGGCGAAACGCGACGGCGATTTCACTTGGGCCGTGGCTGGACGCAATGGGGAGAAGCTCCAGGATCTGCTGGAGAGAGTCTGCGTCTCTATAGGTGAGTTGTTTGTTGTCGTTGTTGCTGCCTCCCTCTTGCGGGGTTCGTGCTGCCCCAACCCGGCCGCTGTCGTCAGGCAAGGCCGTAGGGCTGGGTGAGGCCTTGCTTGCACGGCAATGTCGCACGCAGTGATGCAAGTGGTATCCAGTCCAACGTTACGTTTGTGTTGCATTCTTTACACTTTATAGTAGCGTATGGAAGGAACTGTGCAATGCACGATTGAGGAATGTTAACGATGAGCTTGAGAAAGATGCGTCTTCACGGGGTAATGGATCCTGGTGGTCGAGATGTTAACTACCTCGCCTGGACTACAGGAGATCGTTGGTTCGCCTGCTGCTGCATATTTTAAGTTCTCGTGTCTCTTCGCTCTCTTTCCTCGTAGTCGCGTGGATTTTTCTCCAGGTCGTCCGGTTTCCCCCATCCCAAATTTGTAATCGGCATTTTTTTGGTTGATATAAATTTCCACAGGACGTTACGATACGCTACTTAATTGAGCATTCATTTGTGCGCCAGGTCGCTTCTGAAAGGAAAGGGCTGCATTGCTCGGTGGGCTTAACCTGGGAAAAAAAAAATGGTTTGTTTTTAATGTGAGGGATGGTCATCATCCAGCAGTGGATAGTACTGGCTGATGAAGTTTGTAGGCTGCAACCCGGTTAATGGCAATATCTCGTGTCTTTGTAGATTGTTTGTTTTTGAGTTAAGGTGATGTGATCCCATAACACATCTGCAACGAAGTCGAACTAACACTGCCCACGCATTTTGCGCGGGATGTACAACGCCAGTGAATTGCCAGCGATATGCATTTCTTAATTTATTTACCAAATGATACACTGGCCAACTTTCCACCACCCAAAAGATATAACACCAACATTAGCGACAATTGTATAACGTATCCACACCACCGAGTTGACATCAACATATTGCATGTGACGCGGTGATGTTACCGGAGTTGCTATAATGCCACACATGACCACATGGTTATGCACGTGTATTGAACTTTGTAGCCAACGATGCTAATCGGAGGTGCAACTTTAAAAGTATGAAACGGGACATGAGCGTGTTTTTGTGCTCTGTTATGCTTGTGCGTTTTTATTGTGTTTTTTTTAATTAATTGTGTTTTTACATAATGCTTAGATTTGTTGGCAAGGCTACAAATTATAATAGACTACATTGTAATCAATTTATCGTGTGCCTTTTAAAAATGGCTACTGCCACCACGTGTTGCCTCCAAAGCGGGAACCACCACACCCCCAACCCCTTACAAGCCATTCTTGGGTGTGATACCCCCTAAAGTCAGAATCCGAATATTTATTTTTACTGGAGGAAATCCGATGAGCTATAAAGCTATTTTTCTCCAAGCCTCGCCCCCGTCACACGTTGGAACAGAGCTTGGGGTTTTTTAATCCAACTTAATGCTATCCGATTAGTCAAATAATCTCCCCTCTCCCTCCTTAAACGTTCGTTACTGTTTAACACGTAGGGGTTTAAAGCCCCGTTTTTATGGCGTGCAGTAGTACACGGACTTCATGAACCATTTGATAATTCGTGTGAAATAAAAATGACTAAGTTTGCACAACCATTCATTTCTCCAAAAGCCACTCGCAACCGGCTCCTTGTCCACCCATTTATCATTCTCATCCAAGTCGACTGTGAATAATTTGCCCCAGCTATCATCCTGTGTTTTTGTAGTTGTCCCAACCAGATCTCATCACTAGTATAGCAAAAATAAGTAATATTTTTAAAACATGCTTTAATGAAATGTACTGTACTAGTAATGGCAAGCTTCGGGGCCACTTCCAAGGGACCGTGACCAATTAGACCCAAGCCGAAACATAACCTATAAAAAAATGTTTAAAATATTTATTTTTATTTTCTATGATAGAATATAGTATTGTCATCAGTATGGCATAAGTATACCAAGTTTGCAGTCAATACCACATAGGGAAGTGGGTTAAAATTGAATTACAAGATTTGAGGATACGGCAACAACGACAGTGACGGTGACTTAAATGAAAGAGTCTTAATAAGCCTCACTCGCATGCCAACAGCCTTGCACTGTAAATTAAAGCACGCTATGAGGCAGTGATGATGAGGTTGTGGGTTTTTTGTGTCTTTACACACTGATGCCAAAACGATCGCACCTTTTGAATGTTTGTTCTCTGACTTGTATGCATGTACGGTGGCTTTGTCACTCCACTGCTGGCCTGGGGCCTTGCTGTGCCGTTTTTGCGGGTCGTGTTTTTGCGTTATAATACTTCGCAACGCTGCTTCTGAACTACTAAAACGTGATCTCTTTACTGGGATTTATTAAAGGTTGCATCCAGGGCTGGATTAAGGCATGGGAGCTCTAGGGGCTGCAAGCCCAGGGGCCTCTGTCAGCTGGAGGGCCTCCAGAGATGCAGTGAAAAATTATTTCACTTGTGAATGCTGAATTTTATTGTTAGCCTTGTAAAAATACATTTTATTTTTCTTTAACTTTGTTTTCCTTTTGAAAATATTACTGGGGGCCTCTAATATCTTAATCCGGCCCTGGTTGCATCTCCACACAATCCGCACCTCCGATTTTAGCCACGGTTGGCTGCGTAGATTGCGGAAGAAGTTTAACAAACTGCATACGTTTGTAATTTTTTAAATCCTTTATATTAAGTTCGCGTGCTTGCTTGCTTGCTTAGGACCGTGCAAATCTTTCGGTCGTTTTTTAACCCACTTCCCGTGATCCAATCGAGCTGACATTTTCCACACAGACTCGTTGTGTCAGACAATTATTGTTCGTGAGAAAAAATTCCCAAAATTTTACACTTTTAGGCAAAAAAAAAAAATATTTTACATATATTCAAATAGAACGCATTCATGGCTTTGGCTGAACGTCAGAGTGTAAGAGCCCAGAGCGTAACCCCTCCACAGGCCGTGATGGAGTAGCGCAGTTGGTAGCGCCCTCGCTTCCCATGCCAAAGGTCGCGGGATCGATTCCCCGCGTCCTCCACAGGCGAATAATATTTTAAATCCTTTATATTATGTTCGTTTGCTTGCTTAGGACCGTGAAAATCTTTCGCTCGTTTTTTAACCCACTTCCCGTGATCCAATCGCGCTGACATTTTCCACACAGACTCGTTGTGCGTGACAATTAATTTTCGTGAAATCTTTTTTTCCAAAATTTTACACTGTTTAGGGAAAACAAATTAAATACTTAATTACCAATTGCTTAATACTGGCAGACAATCATTTGACCCATAGATTGCAGCCATCTCAAGCCAGAGGACGAGAGGACTCTAGCCGCCACGCATATAAAGGATTTATAGTGAAAAACTTTGTTTTTACGGGTTTACTTGTTTGCTATAAAATATGGTGTACTGACGTGTCACTCCTGAAGTTGAACTTCGAGTTTGCTGCTCTCATTTGGGCAAATGGTAAAGTTGCAACAGTAAATTTACAACATTCTGACTCCATTATGCAAAGTTACCATTCTAGTTTTTAATGAAATGCCAGTAACCCTGGAGGCTTTGCCGTCTCCGATACTATCTAATTGTAAATATTTGTCCATGGTATTAAAATGTAAAAAAAAAATGCATAAAACGAAATTGCACCTTTTTTTAGCAATTTGAATACAGCCGTATGGTTGGTAGTATTCTTGATGTGGTGGTAGCTTTTCTAGCTATGCAATTGGTAACTTGGTCAAAAGTCGCTTTTGCATACTGCATTTGTCCAAATTATTGTTCTTGTATTTTTTTTCTTCTTGGTTCTTTCGGTAAAGTCACGTAGAAGGGAAGTACTTCCCTTCTACGTGACTTTACCGAAAGAACCAAGAAGATGAATCCCTGCAGTCACGAAAGCTTTAAATCGAAACTTGTATTTTTTGTTTCTTTACATTGTTGCACTAACTTTCTACCATGCAGCCTTTTATCTCCAGTCTCTTGCACAAGAAACGTTGGTCTCGTTTGAACTCTTACCTAGCTTATTAAGTTTATGTAAATTCAGATGAGGTACAGTATTTTATATGAACTAACTTTTCTTGCCATGGTCAGATATTTAACTTTGTTATTTAGTTGTGCAGTGTTTGTCAACGATTTTAATGTAAACTTAATCTTTTTCAGGACAACCACACGCAAAGAACAGTGTCGGTCTTCTCATATGCGATGTGGGAGATGAAGAGTCTCTGGCTACTATGTGCCAGAATGCCAAGGTTGTCCTTAACTGCGTTGGACCGGTATGTACTTTACACAACCATTTAATCTGCAAAGGAACATGGGTGAAAGTGCAGATTTGATAACCCCGTCTTCCTGCAACGGCTATGTTTCAATGCGCCTAACGCCTCGATCCAACTTCATCTCCAAGGTGCTGTACAAACGTGAAAAAAACTCGATTGGGGCTGAAGGGCAGTGGTATCAGGATGGGCAAAACATGGGTGGGGTTGGGTAACACTGGTACGGACTGGAACGAATCTAACAGGACCGGCAGTGCTAACACAAGCCACGGTGCAGCTGGGTCGGCCAGGACTGAACCAATGAGCAACTGGGCATCCTTGAGCGTTTATGTGGAAAGCGATAGAATAAATTTTACTTCGTTATTAATATGCCCAAGAAATAATATGCTGAGTTGCGAACGCTCCTAGATTTTTAACTATTATCAGATGGAATCAATATCACAACCTTGGGGATTGCAAGACCATGGCATCACCATGATTATTGTTGTAGCACTCAATTTTCCCTTTTTCAAGAAGATCTGTGGTATATTTTTATAGCCTCGTATAAACAGACGGTAAATAGTAATTTTAAAAGTGCAATTGTATTCCTTTTTATATTTTCAACCTGATTATGGACCGTTTAATCTTTAATCTTAATTCAGGAATTCATATTCTTGGGTCTTTCAATAAAGTCACATAGTTTTAAAGAAAATAACAAATAAGTAATATTTTTAAATGCTTGTTTTAAAAACATGCTTTAATGAAATGTACCATACTGATAATGGCAGAACTCCACGACTCCAGGAAGTGGCTCCGAGGCTTGCCATAACGTAAGGGGCCGTGGTGATTTACAGCCAACGTGAGTTGAGCGTGGACAATTAGACCCAAGGCGAAACATAACGTAAAAAAGATGGTTTAAATTAGTTTTTTAATGATAGAATATAGTATTGTCACCAGTAAGACATAAGTATACAAAGTTTTCACTTGCTACCACATTCGGAAGTGAGTTAAAATTGAGTTACAAGATTTGAGGATACAATAACAACACAGAGTTAAATAAAAGCGTGTAAAAACTACGACGTTTCGATCGCAACACAAGCTGTAGCTCTGATCTTACATTTACATGCAAATTTCTCAATTTAACATCACTAGCCCTGCCCACTTCGCTTATGACCCTTGGGCTACACCCATTTCAAACCTTTAAAACATGCTGCCTCGGCAGTTTTCCCGCTATTTTTTTTCTCCTGATGACGATTGTGTGTTGCGATCGAAACGTCGTAGTTTTTTATTTTTTTATATCCTTATGTCCTTTGAACCTATCTACGTGACTTTACTGAAAGACCCAAACATATAGTTTAATCTCTTGCCATGAATGACAATTTAACGCATTTCATGTATATATTCAGACTCACGAATGTCATGCATGCAGCGTACAGTATCCGGCATAAACATTGTTAGGACATTTTGAAAGGTGAAAATTACCTGGCACATATTTTGCCTTTGGTGTGCAGTCTTCGAGCGGTGTTAAACTAGCAAAATCGTCGTGTACATGTTTTCAATTTCTCTCCCACAGAATTTGTGCAGCGTCTGCAGCCATAAATTGTGGTACTAATATAGTGTCCACCGATAGCGTGGGTGACCTTTGTGCAAGGCTGAATCGCACCTGGGTGTATTGCATAGGCTTGGTTTGGGTGTAGCGTGTAGCACTTATGAGGCTAGTCTTAATTTCAAAGAGGACGAATACCAAATGTAAAGCGATATGTACATATACAGCCCTTTTCTCAATGGATCTGTCCATGAGGATTGACTACAACATTATTAAATGTGGGTTTAATCAAGCAGCATAATGCAGTAAAAGGCATTTTGCCATATTGCCGTCTGCTAACAATGTCCAAGCAGCGAACCTGTGACACCACCTGTTTATAAATTGTGGTCACCTTCCAAGCACTATCCAGTCTCAAACCTGCTTGGCCTTCGATCTGATGTTATTTGGCACATGCCATGTGATTTTGGTCCAAGGCACAGTGCTATACAGATTCCAAACATTTTTGGAAGCCGTAATTTGCTAATCTTGTGTGCTGAGAATGGTGGTACCGTTTTATTACACTGTGCTTGCGTCCTGGGTTTGTACGATCATGCTTGGACACTAGTGGCCAGTGTTCCGACAACTGAAAATGTAACGCTGCAAAATTCGTGCAGTACAGCTGGGAATGAGAGCTCTGTCGTCTCTCTAGTGTGGTGGCACAGGACCCAAGATGCATTTTGGATTCGTTTCGGCAATGGGACACTGAAGGCAGAGCATGAACCCTGTATTACATTCTGTGGTGGGAACATTCTGGCCTGTCTTGAGCAATATTGATGACGGGATGCTTTGTATACTTGCTCAAGAGCGGCAGTTTATCCAGAATAAGTATTTGTTTTTTGTGCATGTATACTTATACTACTTTCATTTTTTTAATGAAGAAAACTACTCTTTGTTTTGGAGAATATTAAATGATATTGTTAAAGCAGAGTTATGTCATGGGCATGACTTGACCACACTGTGTGGAGCAAATTCCACATTGCCATTTTTGTGGGGACCAGTAGTTCAGTATAACATACATGCAGTCCTTTTTGTAATTCTGCTGATGCTTGAGGACCATCCCACATCGTGAATTATTTGGCCGTACCTCAGGCGAGTTATTCTGGGTTGTTGGAGCAGGGAGCATAGATGTGAAAGCGTTGACTAGATTTTGCCGCACTGGGTCCTCACTTAGCTCCACAACCCTAGTATACAAAGTATCTGAATATTTACGCAATTTTCATAATTCTATTTGGATTATTTTTCTTTTCAGTATAGGTTTTATGGCGAGCCAGTGGTGAAGGCGTGCGTGGAGAATGGCTGCAGTTGTGTGGACCTCTGTGGTGAACCGCAAGTACGCACACGCACACATGCAATGCTTGAGCGTGCAGTTGTTTTTGCCCTGCTTTCTATTTGCTTCATGGGCTGTACTTAATTGATTTTTTTTGCCTTTGTCCTTTTTTAATCCAGGTGACTCGCAAATGAGACCAATCCTGGTCTCTGGAGTTCTTGCCTTGTTAATTGAATAAACGTGACACTGTCAAATATTGATCTTCGTCCACTTCATGGCTGCCGTGTCCTGAGAGGTTATTTGACTCGCTACACTCCAGTAACCAGATGTAATTTACTCCTAAAGTTGTACCTGGCAACATAAGATGTTAAATTACACTAGGACAACACTGCCCCTTTTATATTGTCCACAGCAGCCAGAGAAGGAAACTAATTGTCATTGAACCGTACACGCGTCCTCTAGCAATGTTGCCCAAAATCAAAATTCATGACCCAGTGAAAATGGCCTGTAACCCTGCCTCCTGTTCTCTTGGAATGATGTTCAAATCCACTGAGCCCTTGCAAAGTGGCCTCGTGTTGCCAAGGCCTGACACTCGTGTTTTTTTTGCTTTTGCGTGCAGTTCCTGGAGGAGATGCAGCTTAAGTACAGCAAGGCTGCGGAGGAGAATTCCGTTTACATCGTTGGAAGCTGCGGATTCGACTCCATCCCAGCGGACCTGGGTGTGCTGTACACCCGCCACCAGTTCCCAGGTATTGCAGATGCACGCGCAAACACACGCGCGTCATACGTTTTGGTGTATATACCCCACTGACTTTATAAATTATGCTCTTTTACTTTTCAAAAGGTTATTTAAAAAATTAGCTGGGCAATGGTGGCATGTGCTTGATCTAGCACTGCAGGCAATGCTTTGTGGGTCACACAAATGTTGCGAAACTGCCCTCCTGTAGCTGTCGGAGGTGCCATACCCTAGTTCTCCTGGAGAATGCTTACTACTTCTTCTTGGCTCCCTATGGACCATAAGGCTGAAAAAAGGCCACGCCATGCCGGACAATCTTTAGCGGCTTTCTCTGCGTCACCCCAAGACCGAACCATGATCTTCAGTTGGTAGAGTTTCAACTCGTGGGCAACTTTTTGCCGTCTTGGACATTTGGTACGTTCCAGGCTCCAACCTTCATGTTGTGCTTTGGATCCAGGAAGGTGCACTTTTACCCCTCCAACGTCCTGCTGAGAGCTGTGATTTGGAGAGGGTTATCCTGCCAGTTTTGTGGGTAGGTGCCTCCTAGTAGTCTGGTATTGAATGTTTATTTTCAGTTTGCATAACAATGCTTGTTATTTTCTGAGGTTGGGTTATTAGCCCCATGCCCAACCCTCAACCTGAAGGACCCAGGCATTATCCATTTCGTCTGTCCTCTACCCTTTGACCAGCCTGGCATAATTGGACCTACTGTATGTTGAACTTCTTTTGCACAGTACATAGCCAACTGCTAATCGGAGATGTTACTTGGTGAGATGGGTTGGAGAAATGACCATTACCCATTCCAAGACCGGGTGGGTCCTGTTAACTACTGAATCTCGGAACGCGCAAGTGGTTCGGCTCTAATTTTATTTAGAGGTATAGCACAGTTTTTTTAAACCTTGCACTCTCCATACAACCATAGTGACACGACTGCACTATGTGATAGCTAGCACCAAACTGTGCCACAAGCCCCACCCGCATGGCCTTGTGGGAGCCTCCATACCAACAGTTAGTTTATTTTATTTCGATTTAAAGCTTTCGTGACTGCAGGGATTCCTCTTCTTGGTTCTTTCGGTAAAGTCGCGTAGAAGGAAAGTAATAAAATAATAAAAATAAAACAATTCTCACGACGTTTCGGCCACAACGCAAGTGACTTTACCGAAAGAACCAAGAAGATAGTTTATTTTAGTTTTTCTTCCGGATTCATATGAACCTTTTCCCATTCCGGTGACCTACGTGTTTTTTCATGGAAAATGGGAAAAGTTAAAAATGTTATTTTTATTTTTTAATGTCTGGGGGCGAATGTTTTGCCGATACCTTGCCACGTTGTTGAGTGCGGGTTTGCGAGAGAGGTGATGCAGGAGCAGATCAGAAATCGTACCACGGTGGCTGTGCATCAAACTTGTGTCCATGCGGGGGGGGGGGGGTTAATTGCACATTGAGCTCACCGCTGCACTGCTCCTCCAACCCCTGTATTAAACTGCTGGCAATGCTGAAAGTTTAGTATTATGGTTAGATAATTAAAAGTACTGCTTTCTGCTGGAAAATTAATGGTCCGGTCGTGGTGCAATGTCTTTGAGAAAAAATGTTCCCCGTTCCATGATGTTTTTACCTTATTCTCCTGGATTATAAGGTGATCTCTTTTTCCCCTCTTGGTAAAGCAAACTTTGCGGTAGTAAACAAAGCAGATGAGATGCCATGTGACCCAGATTTGGTTAACTTCATTGTTACTGGGAACATGTTATGGCGGAGTATCTTTTTATCTGAAGAATACAGTGCTTTGTACTGGATTAGCTGCAGCTCTGAGTTTGGACCCGGCCTTTTGGGGGCAGGGGGGAAATGTCCCCATGTTTTGATTTGTTGCAATTCTCTACAACGGGTTTCTAATGTTGGGCCGAGTCTCCGAACATCTGCCATCAATTTTGGAAAACATGTGTTTTTTGTCACGTAAATGTAGCTTTGTCTATCTGTAACCATGTATTCCCCTCCATCTATCATTCGGAACACGATATCGTGCTGCGTGTATTTTAATACTCTAATTATCAAATGTTTTTGAACATGACTTTTTTAAAATTAAATGGTTTTAAACTAACGTTTGCATTTTCCAACCCTCATTTGTAAGGGCATTCTGACCAGCAAAAACACGTATGCCAAGCTTTAAACATTTAAATAAACCCAGGAACCCTGTTAGCAAGAGCAGAACATCGTGTATTGATGGGCTCCTTTCCGCATACATTCAGGGCCATTATATCGCACTGTAAATTTGCTTTGTGCAGCATAAATCAAATCTGGTAAGTGATGCACACAACCCATCCAAAACAGAATAATAGTGCAGGCTGAAATTATAACGCTTCAAACTATACGCCAAATGTATGAAACGCACACCGACTTTGTGCATATACAGTACAATATACCATCAGCATTTCCCTAAGTATATGGTCTTAGCTTTGACAGCAGCGTAGTAGTGATCCTGTCAAATTGCGACCTCCCCCCCCCCCCCCCCCCCCCCCCCCTTATTTAGAAGTTGTCACTTTTTTTTATAACGTACATTACCTGGGGTGCTGCGGTGGCAATCCTGTTATCTCGCTCTCCTAGTATGCAGGATATTGTGGGTTTGCGTCTGACCTTGATGCCTGCGTTTTATATTTAGGGTTTGCATGTTGTCCTCGTGGTCATGCGGATTTCTCCCTGGTTCCTCTGGTTTCTCCCTCTTTTTTTAGAAACGTGCGTTTTTAGATAATTTTTGGTTGCTATACATTTCCACAAGCCACTTGAGCTATCATTTGTGGCCAGGTTGCTTCGGAAAAAATTGCTCTAGCTCCTGAGGGCCTTATCTGGCAAAATAAAATGGTTAAACTTAAAGAGCCTGGGACTTTGGAGGTTTGCTTTTGATAAGTGGGGCGACTGCTGTGGATCTCCCAGTTTGAAGCAAGTTTCTCAGTCTACCCACACTGCTCCTCCACCGGGCAGTACAGATGGGCACACCAGAGTTAGTTTGAACGGCAGGTTTTGTTTGGGCTTAAGTGTAGATATTTCCGCTGCCTCCAAGCTACCTAGCTAGCATGGAAAATTTTGCCAAAATGTTCTCTAAGGGCTCTAGCGCTTCCACAAGTGGAGACCCTTCCACCACCAGTGACAGAGTAGGTAATTGCAGAGCTGCACATAATATACATGGATGCTGCAGTGGTGAGATGTTAACTACCTCGCCTCGCATACATGAGGTCGTGGGTTCGATCCCGACCCTGACGCCTGGTAGATTTTGGAGTGTTGCGTCTCTCCCCATGGTCGTGTGGATTTTTCTCCGGGTCCTCCAGTTTTTTTTCTCTACAAATTTCTTAATAAAAATACATGGTAAGTATTTGGTTGCTCAACATTTTTATGCAATAAGCCACTTCATGGGGCTGTCATTTGTGATGGCCAGGTTGCTTCTGAAAAAGAGCTATATAGCTCGGTGGGTTTTACCTGATTTAAAATAAAACAAAGTTTTGGTTTAGTTTAAATTAGCATTAAACATGCGCCCTTACCGTGTGCAGTGGTGGCAGGCTATTGCTCCCCTAGGCCATCGCATTGTGCTCGGTCTGCTTGCAAGAGCCGCTCGTGCTTTCATTTGTAGTTCCATTTTTATAGCAGCTGTGCTTGGCATGGTGTTCTCCTGGAAGACTAACATCGTGTACCGTCTGCTTTCAGGCACTCTGTCAGGAGTGGAAAGTTACCTTGTTATTGAGACTGGTCCGCAGGTAAGAAATGCATTTTGTTACCAAAAATTTTCATTGTTTAGTAATCCAAGGTTGTATTTGAGAATTTATACCTTTTCAATGCTTGAATTAATTTAATGAGCTCGTTTAACCATTACTGTTTTAAATTGTTTGTCTGCATCTTTTGCATTTATGAAAAAAAAGATCCCCACTTATTTATTGTGAAGCTCTTGTGTGTGGCGGCACCCCCCCCCCCCCCCCCCCCCCCCCCCCCCCCCGGTTGGTCTTGGAAACAACTTTCTCCACTGTGTGCACTTTGTGTTTTTTGTAGGGTGGTGCTGGTCACTATGCCACGTGGCAGTCTGCCATCTATGGCTTTGCCGACCAAGACAAGCTCCGCAAGCTCCGCAAGGAGATGAACCAGAAGCCTCTGCCGGTCGTCGGCAGGAAACTGCCAAAGAGGTAAAAGGGGGGGGGGGGGGGGGCGTTGCCCTGTAAAATGGTCTGACCTACTGAAGCTGAACGGCAATCACAAATGAGAACGTGGGCCCAGGCTAAGCCCTGAAGGAGATGGGGTTGGTGTTGAATTTTGGGCAGGGTGGAGTGCCATTTTTAGTAAATGGCTGCCATAAGGTTTTTTTTTTTTGGGGGGTTAGATTGCGTAAATATATAAATGTCGCTAAAACCCGCCACCACCCGACACGGCCAACTAGTAAGGGTTGTCACGTAAACAGAACATGCCAATTCGTCACTAGTACAGCACTAACCGGTGTGTTTTAAAGAGTCGAGCCAGAACATTCACAATCTGAGTACGACATTTTGCCAGTAATTACAACCTAGCTTCATCAAGGGATAGCCAGATTTGTGGCGAAGTCCACCTGTTTGGTTCCTTTATATAGAGGTGTAGATGTGGTGACTACACTCTTGTGCAAAGTGCAGGGGGGTGGGATTACTGAGTCAATGCACATTATACATTATGCGAGCCCTTTTTAACTTGTCCTTCCTGTCTATTTTGTGTCTTAAAACAGCTGTACCAACGGTAATACCTAATTGAAGTATGCTGCCCTTTAATTACTGCCAAAGTAATTTAAACAATCAAAATACCGTACACTAGCCAGATGTTTGGAAAAACAAAACGTCAGTCAGATTTGGCGCAGTACATAAAATACAGAATATAATATTTGGTACAAAATATTACCGAAGCTATCAACAGAAGGTGTGTACAGGATTAACTGCACGTGTGGAAAATGTTATGTTGGGTAAACAGGACGAATGATCAGCATGAGACTAAAAGAACATCAGAGAAATTCTCCCACGTACAATTTTCAGCAGTAGCAGAACACGCGTACCAACAAGGACACTCAATTGATTTTGATAATATTGAAGTTCTTTGCAAAGCTATCTACTACTGGCCAAGACTAATTGGAGAATCTATCAAAATTGAAAGAAATAAAAATAATTGTAACCGTTCTGATAGCTACTGCCTTGGTACTGCATGAAAGCGAATCCATCAAATACATTAATTAAATGCATGCCTAAATAAAGGGCAGCATGCTTCAATAGGATTACCATTGGTACAGCTATTTTAATACACACATGTTCTGTTTACGTGACAGAATATGTGTGTGGTGGCGGGTTTTAACGACGCTTGTATATTTACGCGATCCAACCCAAAAAATCCTCTACGGATGATATTGGTCGCGAAAGCCTACGTATTAAACTAGTGCTGGCTGGTTGGTTTGGAGGTAGTGAGCGGGCTTGTGCTGATACTTACAGCTGGAAGGTATGTGCCCAATTTTCAAGTCCATAAATGGTGTAGTGAGTTGGCGCACGTCACAATTATCCAGATTTCCCAAGCTTAGCCGTGGGCTGGAGGCGACCTATACATGCGTGCCCCCTCGTGCACGTGAGTTTTCTCTCGAGCTGCAGTTTCCTCTTCCATGTAAACGATCATTTTAATTGGCATAAAACATCTTAATATATGGAGTACCGCAGAGCTTGAGTAATTATAGGCGCTGAATCGCTGCCTGGTTGCTATGTTCCTGCTTATCTGGTTACTCGTGCCTCCTGGGATCATTTATTTGTGCTCATTAGTATTATTCTCATGACTTCAATTCCTGACCACGGCTAATATAAATGACGACGTGTCCGGAAACTGTCCTGGGGCTGCTCTAGGTCAACTCTGCCTTTTTATGCATAGTTGGTATGATTTGCAAAATATCACTGCTGGGATGCAAATATGCTCAGGCATGGTGTTGTCCACACCACCCACTTGTGTCATGTCAGCTGAAGTTGGTGTTGGCTAACACCACATTCCCGTTTTCGTTTCTGGCGAGTCTTGCCGAGAGACGTTACCTCACCTGGTATGCAGGAGCTCGTGGGTTCGATCCTGACCCAGACGCCTGGCTGTATATTTGTAGTTCCATGATAGCTTTCTTGCTGTGGCCATGTGAAATTTTCTCTGGGTCCTCCAGTTTTTCCCTCTGTTTAGAAACACGCATTTAGCTGCTGCACATTTTCACATGATGAGCCACTTCGTTGAGCATCATTTTTGGCTAGGCCGCTTCTGAAAAAGAGCTGTAAATAGCTCATGCCAGATGTGGCTAATAAGCCGCCTCTACACCAGGCAGCTCGTTCTGAACAAGCGCCCATTTGTTAAATGTAAGTGGAGCCGATTTTTTTTTTACTTGCACACTGAGGGTTGGAGCTACAGTTCAAAAACGCAATGCCCCATTTCCACTGGCACATCTAAACAAATCCAGTCCAGTGTCCTTACAGCACGGGTGGTTTGGCCACTTAACCAAATCAGTGACCATGATGCCTGGTATATTTGGAGTTTGCATGTTCTCCCCGTGGTCGTGTGGATTTTCCTCCCAGGACCTCCAGTTTTTCCCTGCGCATTTAAAAAAACATGCGTTTTAGTGCATTTAGCTGCTAATAAAGTTTCACGATGAGCCACTTTGAGCTATCATTTGTGGCCAGGTCTCTTGTGAAACTGAGCTATAGGGGGGCTCCGTCGGCCTTACTTTAAAATAAAAAATAATGCAGTTGCGTTTTTAGTTTTAATCGCGCGTTTGTCTCCTGGCTTGCCTAACACCAGTTTGTGTGTCCCCACACCTCTCCTTTTTAGGGGTGCAGTCTTTTACAGCAAAGACTCCTCTCGCTGGGCCTTCCCGTTCCCGGGCTCCGACGCGTCGGTGGTCAGACGCAGCCAGCGCTACCTGCATGAGGAGCTCGGCGAGAGTCCAGTGAGCAGTGATGATGGATTGAGCGCGGTCGTGCAGAGTGCTCGTGCGCACATTCGTGTGTTTCATGCCTGCCCCCCGGCTGCTGAAGCAGAGATTTGGTTTTCGCGTGCTGATGGCAACCTCTGCTAGTACTAAGATTTCTTGTTTGTGTGCGGGTGATGCAGCTTTAAATGTGGCGACTGTTTGAGAAATGTATCGTGTACAAATCTGATCGTCGTCATCAGCCATGGTCAATTTGCTACTGTATGAAGGCCTCTCAAAGCTGCTGCCATCTTTTGGATAATGTGTTATTGTAACTGTCAGTGATGGATGACAAGGCATGTAATTGTATTATATGTTGACTTTATTTTGCACCGTATGTTGCCAACCATGCTAATTGGATGTGTGGGGGAAAGATGACAAACTAAACAAACTAGTTTTTAAAGAGATGAGTTTCCAATCTAGATTTAAAAGTGTGGTTCCCATGGCTTCCTAATATCGGAAGGAAGAGCATTCCAGACTGCCGCAGAAGCGCATCCGAAAGCGAACGATGCAGCGACTAATTTTTGTTTGATGCCAAGCTAAAAAAGAAACTGTGCGAGGATGACCAGAGGTTCATGTGACCGGTTTTGTTCCTTGACGAGATGGACAGGATATTATTTAATTTGTGGCAAGCACTTTCCGTGGTAATGTGTGCGACCCTGACTTTTTTCATATGCTGATGAGCAGCCGCCCCTGTGCTCCGTGCAGGTTCAGTACGCAGCATACGCCACCGTCCCCGGCTTCGGCAGCCTCCTGCTCACGATCGTCGCCGGATTCTTCTTTGGCGTCCTGGCAAAGTTCCGATTTGGCCGCTCGTTGCTGGAAAAGGTACCGCTCTATCGGTGTGACGTTCTGACCCCATGGGTCTTGTGTGTGTGTGGTCTGACTTTCAGATGCATCGCCATAATGATGCATCTGCTCTTGGCTTTTGTAAATGTTGAAAATGGGTTACCCTCTCGCACCTCGGCTATGTACGGTGCAAAAGAAGTTCAACATTACGCAATTATAGCAACTGCCTTTCTGCACGTTTGTGGCGCTCAGTAGTTGGTGTCCTTTTTAAATTCTGCAATGACACAACGATGAAAATCCACTTTGTGACCCAACGACATGTGCATGAAATCAAGGAGAGGGAGTAGGCAAATCCATACAGTAGGCTACAATGGTGAAGAGAATTTATGCGACTGGAACAAAAGGGAGAAATTAAAAGGGGTACAGGAGAAACGCACTTCAAAAGATACAAACAAAACATTGCACAATCCCTAGGCACATCGTATGGCTGGGCTCGCCTTGATCCACATGTGCAGATGTGAACGAGACCAAGGATGATATAACAATGACCCATAATATATTGGCCATTCGTCCTTGCATCCAAATGCAATGGGAATGTGTTTTTTGTATTTACTTGGATTGGAAAAATATAAATTGTCATTTTGTATACAATTTGCCAATTTCAGGAAAGGAACTCAATTTGATTTTCTAAGAAGAGAATCTGGAACCTTTGCCTATACGATGCATAGAATTTCCAGGGTCTCAGTTTTTTTTCTGGCCCTAATGTTACAGACTGTGGTTTTTTGTGTGGTACAGTACCGTATACACTGCTGTTTTTTGTAATGCCATTTTTTATTCGTTCTGTGAAGTGGGCAAGAGAGCCCTTGATGCCTTTTTCTGATTTTTGTAATTGTGGCCATAATAGGAGGAACTTTTGTTGTGGTGCTCCTTTTTAAAATAAATCCCAAGGTTGTTTTTGAACGTTGATAGCTGTTTTTCTCTTGTAGTGAACGCACTATGAATGAATTTCTTTTTGTATTTGCAGTACCCCAGGTTGTTTTCTCTCGGTGTGTTTTCTCATGAAGGACCCACCGAAGCTCAGGTACTTGTGCGAGTTTGTTTCGTAAATCGAAGGTTAAAATTGTTTTTAAATGAGTAATAATGTTTATCAACTTGTTCCATTGTATCTTCGTACCACCTACGACAGACCCTGCTCCCCTTGCCACCTGAACACCACCCACTTGTGCACTCACCAACTCCCTCATACTCTTACAGTCATGCTTGACAATTTGTTAGTGTTTTTTGCTTTGTTTTTTGGGTTTGACGCAAGTGATGTGTGACTTAAACTCTTCTCCACAAGGCACAGCCAGCTAATCAGAATATGTATTTACACTGGATGAGTTTTAGCTAAAGCTCTTCGTCATAGATGTCCAGTAGGGGTGGGTCACAACGTTACAACAACAATCAATACAAAAACGCGATAGGAGTGAAAAATATAATAAAATTAAGCAAATCACAAAATATACACCAAGACTTTCTATTTTACCAAGTAAAGCTCACAGCTGTTAGCTTTGTCAAATGAAACCTGACCACAAATGAGAGCTCAACGTTTGGCTTATGTGGACATCTACAGCAGACAAATAATCGAAGCAGAGTTGTGGAAAAGATAAATGTGCTTCAGCACACCTGAAGAGTAAATGTCTCGCAACATTTTCGTAGTTCATAGACGGTTGCCGATGCCGCTTTTAGATGCGTAAAGTATCCCAGGACTGCACCCGAGTAATTTTTGTGTGCCTGGTCCCTTTCACAGATGAAGGGGACTTCTTTCAAGATGACCTTGTTTGCACAAGGGTACAGCCAAGGGCGGGACCCTCAAAGCGAGAAGCCCGACGTCCGCATGACCACGCGAGTCAGTGGCCCGGGTGAGTTGTCTAACGGGGGGGGGGGCATGCGTTGCTACGTAGTGGACGTCAAATTGTCTTCTCGCTCTCGTGAGCAATGGAGGAGCTCTTGTCGTTGCTGGCACGGAGCCCAGGGCGTGGATATTTCGGCCATGGCGGGGGGTGTCCATGCACTGTCTCGCAAACTGGTGCTCTGTTCCCACTTGCCAACTTCAAATGAACTTTAAAGTTTGCGAATTTTTAAGTTGTCTACTTTTTAAAGACAAGTCTGCACAGATGGGTACGCACACTTTCCTGGTGTTCTGCCATCACCTTTGCAGCCTCAAAGCCCCCCAGCATGTTCTGGAAGTTGAGACTAGTCTACGACAGCCACAGCCTTGCATGTCAAGTATTTTTTTGCTTTATTTGGGTAGCCATGCAGACTACATGGCAATTGTATTGCCTTAACGTTTTTTTGCAGCCACTATCATGATTGAAAATATTATAGCTTGTGGGATTTTTTATTTATTCTGACGTTGAATACGTATGGTGCGAAAGATGTTCGCGATACAGATGAAACATCCGATCTACTTGCTGAATTTGTAAGAATTGCAGATGTTTGCGTAAGGGGTCATGTCTCTTTGTATGGCCGCAACTCTGATTTCCAGTGCTGCTCTTGGACGAGAGATGTACCATGCTGCCTGCAAAGTACTTCAATGTGTTTGCTTTTAATGAGCGAGCTGTGCCTATGGTCGGTGTGACCCCGGTGAGATTGTTTTCGTGTGCTCTCCTCCTCGTTATTGCAGAGCCAGGCTACGTGTCCACCTCGATGCTGTTGGTCCAGGCTGGGCTCACCATCCTCAAGGAGCACAACGCCCTGCCCAAAAGGTGCCATACGTTATACAGAGTAGTGTGTGTATGGTAGTATAGCGGTTGGCACACTCTGCTATGAACTGAAGTTCGATTCCCGCTCGCGGCAAATACCCCAGTAATGATTCTATAAACTGGTCCTGGGCCTCCCGAGGTCGACTCGAATACGTGGTGCGATGTGTAAGCATTGCTACTTTGGAGATGAAAGCGGCCGGGTGTGGTGCTGGTCACCCATCGCCTTCTGTGCCGGCCTTCATAGGTGCTCCTGAACAGTACTTTCTCCAACAGTCTAAGGCTATGCAGGGAGAGGTTTGTCTTTATAGTGGTTATACACATGCCACTGAGCCCAGAAAACCAAAATTTATACAGATAGGAACAACAGTTCCACACTGCCCACCAGGGATTATTTGTCTGTCGTGCATAGCCACGCCCTCGATTTGTATTTAATAGAGCTTCGGACAGGCTCAGTGCCACGTGATGCGCCGCCCCACGCAGCTTGCACCGCGTGACTCGGATCGCACGAATGCGCTGTCCAACCAAGTTCCTACCTGCCCACTCTGAAGGAACGTGTCCCACTTGCGGCCAAGAGCAGTAACGATTGTCTTTACCGGGCCTTCCCTAGCTCGACTTGTCCTCTTGGATGCCTGGTGTGATTTTGTGTCAACATTGCCGCTTTGGAGATGAAGGCACGGCCGGACTTGGTGCTGGTCACCCATATGCTCATGTGTGCTGTGCTGGCCTTCATAGGTGCTCCGCTAATAGCACTAGCATGGCAACCAAGTAAGGATTCGCGTCCAATGTAAGTGCGGGTGAACGCGTGGCTGTGCAGGGGCGGCGTCTACACCCCGGCCGCGGCGTTTGGACGCACCAGCCTGGTGGAGCGTCTCTGCGAGTGCGGCGTCGCCTTCTCGATGGTCGAGGAAGCGGGCGACAAGAAGTCTGCATGAGGGCAGCGGTGGTCGTCCTCACTCTGGCCCGGCTCTCCGGGGAGGCTTGTGGGCACCCCCCCACTCAGTGGTGCGTTGGAGGAGGTGGGGGGGGAGGTCCAGTTTGCTTAATCCTCTTCAATGCTGGATGATGGAGGATGCACTGCTAGCAAAGCCCTCTGTTGCTACGCTAGCTTTTCGAGATTTGCGTACAGATTTGTTTGTTTGTTCAGGCGGTGGTTTTTCGCACTTCAAACGGTTCGCTTAAAATTGCTGCAGGTTTTCGAGGTCCTTGTTTTGACCAAGTCGTGCTGTGTATCTCTCGCCATGTGTTTTTTGGGCTGGGTTTTTTTACCCTTTGTCTGACGCATTGCTCGTGCTAATGTATGGGGGACTACGTGAGAAAACAACGCACGGTGGTAGAGCCCCGAAAAACACATCGGCGAGAGTTTTCGGTACGTTTTTGATTTGGCGCGTCCCATTTTTAATTGCTCCGATTTAAAATGTTTCGATTAATTTTGCAGTCGTCAATAAACGTACCAACAATTAGCACTGTCTTGGGAATCGTTACGGTTGAAAGGGACTTGCACTGGTTGTGAACCCAGGATAAATGTAGTTGCGTTTGTTTTTGGCTTTTGCACACGTGACATTTTGGCACTTAAAAAAAAAACTGACTGTGTTATACCCAAGTTGACTTTGTATAGGCGGGGAGGAACTTGTGTGTGGCATCCAAACGGTTTGTAAAGGCTGTGGTGCAGTCGGTAGAACCTTGAACCTCTTGATGCTCGTCTAAGCAGAACATGGTTTGGGCCCACAACGTTCTGATACAATCCCAGAGTTTGCATGACTAGGACAAAGCTACCTGATTTTTGTAACTGAAATTTTCCAGTCATTTGCGGTTTGTCCTTTTGAGTTTTGTGGCAGTAATGTTGCCGTCTTTACAATTGCCTCTCCCTAATGCTGTGTAGGCTAAAGCTGCCTTTTTGCCTGGGGATATTTAACGATTGCGAAATGCAGTAATCTCGCCCGCTGCTTCAAGAAATACTGTCACGTTACTTAGGATGTACCTTGGCTATGTATGTACAGGTTGATAGGTTTAAAGATGAGATGCACTAGAAAGCTAAGGGGTCTCTGGTGTTTTGCACTGTCCTATTAAAACAAAGTATAAGATTTTCTAAAGCACTTAAAGCCACCATAAATTAAATATCCCAGTTTTGCCACGGTCAATTCCCGATTTTTGCCTGCGATGTTCTGCGTGTTTTTCCGCAAGTGATTGCATCGTGAGTACAAGGGATGTTGCACCGTGATGACTTGCACTGTAATACGGTGACAGAAGACACTTTATAGTCAAATCGCCTGGATCATTCCCCCTAACCAAGTTGTGGGTGAATTTGTACTTGGTTTACTATTTCCATTTAAAGGTTTTTACTCGCGTCCCTGCAAGCATCATTTTGAAGTGTTCCACATCCATCTGGCTATATGCTGCATCATAATCTGCCGAGTGAGTAGCGTAATTACGCATTTAGTGCTAAGCCTGCATTCTTACGCGTTTACTGTTCACAAATGTTGTGCTCCGACTGGTTTGGAAATTAATAAATCTGCCTAATACACGCCTGGTGGTCAAAATGTATGACTTGTCATGTGACGTATACATGCGACACGATGATCGTTTTGCACATTTCTTCACTGCGATGCCCTGTACCTTCTGCCACTGACGGTCTTGTGCTGTGGTCGTCCTTTTATAACGGAGCTACTCGACTCCGGATGAAAACCCATTCCTGCAGAGGGAGCTGGTAGAAACGTTGGGTTGCCTCGGTCAATGGCCAGGGTCAACGGCGGCGTGGTGTATTCCGCAAATATGCCCGACTGAGGGCAGGCACAAGCCGGCGTGAGTAGGTGAAACATTGGTTTTATAAGGGCACCACGGGGTGACCAGCCCCTCCCTGCACAACGGACGGACAGAATAATCTCCTGTGGGCTGGCGTAACCAGGAGGTTCCTACCAGTATAGTTGAGGAATACAACCATTTTTTTATGTGGTGTGAGAAATTGCTTTGCCAGTTGCATGAAGGGACAAGGTCGATGATCCCCCCCCCCCCCCCCCCCCCCCCCCCCCCTGATTCTTTTTGACGGAATTTTATAACTGCGAGCTTCACTGCCGTATTCCTCCTTCTGGAACTTTCTCAACGAAGCATCACGTGCTGGGCAATGATCCTGGATGACGTCACCACTGCCAGGATCAACTTAACCATGAATCTTGTTAAACGAACGACTCTGCGTTCTTTGCCAATAACGCTGCTGCCTACATTGGTGGTTCTTAACCTGGAGTACACGCACCCCTTGGTGTGAGAGATGCCCTTTTCTGGGGGTGAGATGTGGGCAGATTTTTTTTTTTAGAAGGTAAATCCTCAACACGTGATGCACGAGCGGCGAAATAACTTCTTTGTGAACATGCAAACCAAGGTATATATGTGATTAATGCAGACATGATTCCTTGCAAAATGTTTCTGTTCGGTGTTAACATCTCAACACCTGTTTAATAGCCAGAAAGGGTAAAACCTATTCTTATAACTACTTTGTTTCATCAAACGGTAACGTACGTTTTTACGATTGATAACCAAAGGGGTGCAAGGATGCAGTAAAGGCAAAGAACCACTCCTAGATTATACTGTTTTATAGTGACTTCAGAAAATGGGGGCCCTTAAAAGCAGTCTTTTTTTTAAATCCTCTATATTAAGTTCACTTGCTTAGGACCGTGCAAATTTTTCGGTCGTTTTTTAACCCACTTCCCGTGATCCAATCGAGCTGACATTTTGCACACAGACTCGTTGTGCTTGACAATTAATTTTCATGAAAAAAATGTTCAAAAATGTTACACTGTTTAGGGAAATTGTTTAAAATATTTAATTATCAATTGCTTAATTGTGGCAGAAAATCATCTGACCCATAGGTGGCAGCCATCTCAAGCCAGAGGACGAGAGGACTGTAGCCGCCCGTTTCATGATGACGCAAATGTTGACTAACCACATGGCATGAAATCCCTGCCCCCACGCTGTACAATGGAGACTATTTAGAGCAGTTACATTGAAGCCGCCAGGTTCTTCAAAGTGGTTAAAACGGGTCAACGCTAGTGCCCTCGGGAATATACGGGGCATGTCAAGAGGTGATCTTTCATTTTTTTAAATCTTTTATATTAACTTCACTTGCTTGCTTGCTGACTCGAAAAACAGAAATGAATAAAATGAAACCGATGCCACGCATATAAAGGATTTATAGTGAAAAACTTTGTTTTTACGGGTTAATTTTTTTTTGGTTGTGCACCCCTTGCCAACGCAGCTGCAGTCTCGCCAAACGTGTTTCGACAATAGAGGGCGCTCCTACGTGGTCTGCGAGGAAGTAGTCCCCAATTTTTATTTTAGTCTCGCCGAGTTGGGGCCGAATCGTGTCCACGTACTGTATTAGAGAAACACGAATTTCTGGCTGGCAGGACCTGACGTCTGCAGGGGGAAGGACGGATGGTCACGTCCAAAGGACGTGTGGGACTGCGAGAGTAAAACCCATTGCCATGGGTTGAGTACGCAGACAATTCCTGGATTGAGACCACTTCATTCATCTATCCTAGGGGTGGGGAATATTTTTTTTTTCTCTCCCAAGGGCCATTTGGATACTTATAACATCATTCGCGGGCCATACAAAATGATCAACTGAAAAATTAGCCTGTTATATTTGGTCAAACATTTAATTTACTCGCCCCTATTGCGATGGCTGGAACTGCTTCTCTTTGAGGCGTGTGATGTTAGCTGGTATTGATGTTGCTACTCGCAACTGCTTTTCTAGGTTTGCTCCTAGAATTATTGAATTTCGAGTCCCGCCTGCGGTTGCCTTGGCAGGGCCACACCAAATGATTTTGCGGGCCTCGTGCGGCCCGCGGTCCGGACGTTCCCCACCCTTGTCTATCCAATTTCGCTCGCAGAGTGGGGTGGGGGGGGGGGGGGGCAGATGCAACCAATCCGGTTGCAGGAGCTCTGAACGGTTGCGTGGTGTTCTGATTTAAAGCGGTGAGACTAGAATTCACTGGAGTGGCCATGGCAATACACGTGCCATGGGATTGTGACTGATGATGATGAATGCCATCGGATCGGGGCCGGATTAAGATGTTGTAGGCCCCCTGGGCTACAGGGACTGATGCCCCCAGTAATGTTTTCCTAAAAAAAACAAAGTTAAATAAAATAAAATGTATTTTTTACAAGGCTAACAAATTAAAATTCGGTATTCACAAATGAAAACTTTTCACTTGCATTTTGATTTAAAGCTTTCGTTACTGCAGGCATTCATCTTGGTTCTTTCCATAAAGTCGCGTAGAAGGGAAATAATAAAATAATGAAAATATGAAACAATAAAATTCTCACGACGTTTCGACTGCAACACGAGCAATCATCGGGTGTGAAATCCACAGCAAGAACATCTCTGGAGGCCTTTCAGCTGACGGAGGCCCCTAAAGCCCCCGTGCCTTAATCCGGCCTCTGCATCGGATGAGCATCGATTGCCGGCTATTGTGCCCTGCCATCGGCGTGTGGAAGGTTCGCTGCGTCTGAACACTGACCTCAAAGCATCGTTGTTACATCAGAGACGAAAATCTCAAAACCCAAATGTTGCTAACGTTCCACTGGGGGGCGCTCTAGAAGTGAGAGTTGATGTCCAAAAATCCCGTTTGGAGCGCGAATTCTGCGGGCCAGGTAAGTTCATTTCATTTTCTTGGTTCTTTCGGTAAAGTCACGTAGAAGGGAAGTAATAAAATAATAAAAATAAAACATAATAAAATAATTCTCACGACGTTTCGGCCACAACGCAAGCCGAAACGTCGTGAATTATTTATGTTTAATTTTTATTTTATTCCCTTCTACGTGACTTTACCGAAAGAACCAAGAAGATGAATCCCTGCAGTCACGAAAGCTTTAAATCGAAATTCATTTCATTTGTTACGCAGATGGTCCGCATCCACACGTTTGACGACGCAGAGCCCCGATCCACAAACACGGAGGAGGAGACATCGCAGCGATGCACAACTCCGCTGCTCCTGACGCGGTTGTCCACCTTGACCCCCTGAATGGGACATTGCAGCTGTTGCTCGGCATCCACATCGACCGTACGAAAGACGCAGAAGAGGAAGGCGACAACGACGTATGGTCCCGTTTAGCCAATTTGCCCGGCTGTCCTGCAATCAGAATCAGAAACGGTTTTAATCGCCATGTAAGTTTGCACAAACAAGGAATTCACTATGGCGGGACGGTGCATACATTGAACAAGTAGGAATCTTAACTTATATAAAAGGTATACACTCTAACTATACTAACGTTACAAAGTATAAGTAATACCAAAGGGCTAAAATCTTTAAAATTATGAATAAGTAGACCTTATAAATTGCGAATGTAAAATGTTAATTAGCCGTATTAAACAATCTTAAAATACAAAAATACAAATAAGATTACACGTAAGTATGGAAAGGTGTAATTATGTAGATACAATGTTATAGTAAGTGTAACAGTCATTTTAAGTGTAAAAGTCATTTTAAGCCCTTGGCCTTGTTGAGGAGGCCAACAGCAGATGGGAAAAAACTGTTTTTATGACGTGAGAGCCGTGGTGCGTGAGCACACCCACATCAACAACAATCGCAATTAAAATTAAACCCCATCGGTAGTTTAATAGAGCGGGTGCAGGGTCCTTAAGGAATATTGCACATCCTAACACGCGGTATTTTAGGAACGTTGCAATATAAACCTTCGAAACAAACCGGCTCTGACCAGCGTGGTGAAGTATAGTCAAATAACCCCCACGTCCGGCACGCCATGGGGAGGGAGTTGTCCCGCGGTGGACTGGTAAAAGGGGCTTTAACTTGTAATCAACAATCTTTATTTGTGGGACCTTTTTTTTTGTTGGCCAGTATCAAAAGTAAGAAAAATAAGATTATGTTTTGCCCTTTCTGACTGAAACAGGTGCTGGTGTCTCGCGTTCTCACTCTGGTTACACGAAATCAACTTGGCTTGACAGCCCTAGATTTGGACTCAACATCAGGAGCATCATGACTTGTACGTGTTTAAATAAAATACAAATAACAATTATTTTATGTATATATGTTGAACTTCTATCGCACCGTACGTAGCCAATTGTGCTAATCGGAGGTGCTTTATTGTTGTTATGCCACCGCTTCCCTCGCCTGCTGAGGCATTCGACCAACACAGAATGTGTATCCATAAGAGGTTTTTTTAGTTAAATCGCGCAAATATATTAATGTGTCGTTAAACCCGCCACCACCCGATGCAGCCAATTAGTAAGGGTTGTCACGTGAACAGAACGTGGACATTTCGTCGCAAGTACAGCACTAACCGGTGTGTTGGAGAGCAAAGCCACAACATTTACAATCTGAGCACGACTTTTCGCCAGTAATTACAACTAGCATCATCAGGCGGACAGCCAGATTTGTTTCGTTCCTTAAGCTATATTATGGATGATATTGGTCGCGAAAGCCGACGTGTTAAGCAGAATGTTTAACAGAATGTTTAACTGCTGCTGCTGCTGCAATTAGCGTACCAGGGCAAAATAAGACAAAGATCCCCCCAATAGCCTGAATAGACTTGGGGCAAGTGCTGTTAGCGAGCACCTCTGGATACCCACACGATGCACGAGGGAGTGGGTGACCAGCACCACGCCCGGCAGCCTTTGTCTCCCTAGTGGCGATGTTTACTCACCGCACCGGGTACTCATTTGAGGCTGAGTCGACCTAGGAGATGCCCAGCACCGGTTCAGATAACCTCAGTTATTGGCGGCCGTGAGCGGGAGTCGAACTCGGCTGGCCGCGTCACCGCTCACCGCACGAAAGTGAAACGAAACAGTGAACTCCGCTAGACGCCTTGGGGGTGTTGAGCGTCGTCACATCACCCACTCTCGAAATTTGTCGCCTCGCGGTCTCCCTCTGCCCCGCAGTGTGCTCAGAGTCCCGGACGGGAGAGGCGTGCGCATGGAGGAATGACAGGAGGATGATGAGGAGGGGGGGGCAATAGTGGAGCTGTCTCCCCCCCCATCCCCTTTAATCTCTCTCTTCTCTCTCTCTGCCCGCCCACCACTCTCCGTTCGAGATCAGACGCGGAGTATAACAACTCGTCCTCTGTTGAGCTCCTGGGCAGCCACACACAGCACAACATCACGCACCTTCTTACTTCACGTGCTTGTATTTGCACAACCACGTTACGTGGACGGTATTTCAGGTTGATGGGGAATTACAGGAGGTTTTTTTGTGTGTGTATATATATATGAGTACGTATGTTGAATTTCTTTCGCACGGTACGTGGACAACCGTGCTAATATATTGAGAGGCAGTATTAAATAGAATTTTATTGGGTGAATAAAAATAACATAACCACACGCGCTCGCAAAATTTTGGCTTTTGGGGTTTGCAACGCGTTCTTGGGACATGGCAGAGCAGGGTGAGGACGATCAGTTTCGATCCAAGCTCTCTCCGACGGCTGACATCGCGGCAGGGACGTTCCTCCTGGCCGTAAGTAAGTCCCTCGTGCTCACGCGACGTTCGCACGCACACCCCTCACGCAGGAAAAGACAAAGAGCCACTCCGTGCAGCCTGTAACAGACTGTAGGGGCAAGTGCCGCTAGCGACTAGCACCTATGAAGCCCGGCACGGCACACGAGGGGTGGGTGGGCCAGCGATGTTCACACACCGCGCCAGGTACTCATTTAAGGCTGAGTCGACCTAGGGGAGGCCCAGGACCAGGCTCAGATAATCGTCACCGATGTTGGTCGTGAGCAGGAACCGACCTCGGGTCGCCATGTTCGTAACGCAGCACGCGAACCGCTGCACCACCGCTCCCACTTCATACCGCTACATACACACACGCACACACACACGCACACACACATGTTGTCTGTGGGGTTGGGACATCATGCAGCAACTTTGCGCTTTGGTGGTTTGACGATAAACTAAATTTGTGTGCTTTTACTCTTTGGTTATTTCGGTAAAGTCACGTAGGTATAAAATGAAATAAATGAATTTTCGATTTAAAGCTTTCGTGACTGCAGGGATTCATCTTCTTGGTTCTTTCGGTAAAGTCACGTAGAAGGGAAATAATAAAATAATAAAAATAAAACATAATAATAAAACGGCTGCTTGCGTTGTGGCCGAAACGTCGTGAGAATTATTTTATTATGTTTTATTTTTATTATTTTATTACTTCCCTTCTACGTGACTTTACCGAAAGAACCAAGAAGATGAAATAAATTAAATCACGACGTTTCGATTGCCACACAAGCAATCATCATCAGGTGGGAAAACCACAGCAAGAACATGTTTTGCTGAAGTGGGAAAAAATATTTGCTGTGGTTTTCCCACCTGATGATGATTGCTTGTGTTGAAATCGAAACGTTTTCATTTTATACCTACGTGATTTTACCGAAAGAACCAAAGAGTATGGATCCCTGCAGTCACGAAAACTTAAAATCTAGATGGTGTGCTTTTGTGAAGTACAACGGCTGGTGGCGCAATCGGCGAGATGGCGATTGAGTCAAATTACTGATTGCAGGGACAAGCGCTTCCTTCTGGGGATAAAGAATATTTTCGATTCTTTTTTTGTCAAATAAAAAAAGAATAGGGGCCGTCCATAAATGACGTCACGCACCTGGGGGGGGTTCAGACATTTGTGACGATGTGTGACGAGGTGGGGGGGGGGTTTGAGAAATGTGACGTCACATCAAAATGCGCAACTTTAAATAAATATAGACAACACGTTCTACTTAATTAAATAGACTTTTTAATAAATCTTTTCTCCTACAACATCAGAGCGCAGCGCCACATTAAATACGCACTACAATGACAATAGTTTAAAGCGATTTGAAGCATGTTGAATTTTTTCGGTGGGGGGGGGGGCAGAGCTTTGTGAAGTCATATTTGAGGGGGGGTTTCACTTTTTGTGACGCCGTGTGACGAAGGGGGGGCGGGGTAAAAAATCGTCAAAAATCGCGTGACGTCATTTATGGACGGCCCCATATCCCAATAACGTGGGGTCGTATATATGTCGAAGATCCACACCGCTCGCTTGGGTGTGCGACGTCTCGTAATTGCGGTACAGATTTATCAGACCGATGTCATTCCGAATCAGAATATTTATTTATACTGGAGGAGGAATCCGATGAGCTATGAAGCTCTAGTTTCACAGATGTCCAGCAGTTCAAAATAACTAGGAGATTACTTTTTTTAACGTAGGAAAAAATCGCACGCATCAGTCTTATCGTGTTCAGAGTGAAATGTTTTACCGTGTTCAGAGTGAAATGTCTTGTCATGTGCAGAGTGAAATGTCTTGTCGTGTTCAGAGTGAAATGTGTCATAGTGTGCAGAGTGAAATGTCTTATCGTGTGCAGAGTGACATGTTTTACCGTGTTCAAAGTGAAATGTCTTGTCGTGTGCAGAGTGAAATGTCTTATCGTGTGCAGAGTGAAATGTTTTACCGTGTTCAGAGTGAAATGTCTTGTCGTGTTCAGAGTGAAATGTCTTGTCGTGTGCAGAGTGAAATGTCTTATCGTGTGCAGAGTGAAATGTTTTACCGTGTTCAGAGTGAAATGTCTTGTCGTGTTCAGAGTGAAATGTCTTGTCGTGTTCAGAGTGAAATGTCTTGTCGTGTGCAGAGTGAAATGTTTTACCGTGTTCAGAGTGAAATGTCTTGTCGTGTGCAGAGTGAAATGTCTTGTCGTGTGCAGAGTGAAATGTCTTGTCGTGTGCAGAGTGAAATGTTTTACCGTGTTCAGAGTGAAATGTCTTGTCGTGTGCAGAGTGAAATGTCTTGTCGTGTTCAGAGTGAAATGTCTTGTCGTGTTCAGAGTGAAATGTCTTATCGTGTGCAGAGTGAAATGTCTTGTCGTGTGCAGAGTGAAATGTTTTACCGTGTTCAGAGTGAAATGTCTTGTCGTGTGCAGAGTGAAATGTCTTGTCGTGTTCAGAGTGAAATGTCTTGTCGTGTTCAGAGTGAAATGTCTTATCGTGTGCAGAGTGAAATGTCTTGTCGTGTGCAGAGTGAAATGTTTTACCGTGTTCAGAGTGAAATGTCTTGTCGTGTTCAGAGTGAAATGTCTTGTCGTGTGCAGAGTGAAATGTCTTGTCGTGTGCAGAGTGAAATGTCTTGTCGTGTGCAGAGTGAAATGTTTTACCGTGTTCAGAGTGAAATGTCTTGTCGTGTGCAGAGTGAAATGTCTTGTCGTGTGCAGAGTGAAATGTTTTACCGTGTTCAGAGTGAAATGTCTTGTCGTGTGCAGAGTGAAATGTCTTGTCGTGTTCAGAGTGAAATGTCTTATCGTGTGCAGAGTGAAATGTCTTGTCGTGTGCAGAGTGAAATGTTTTACCGTGTTCAGAGTGAAATGTCTTGTCGTGTGCAGAGTGAAATGTTTTACCGTGTTCAGAGTGAAATGTCTTGTCGTGTGCAGATTGAAATGTCTTGTCGTGTGCAGAGTGAAATGTTTTACCGTGTTCAGAGTGAAATGTCTTGTCGTGTGCAGAGTGAAATGTCTTGTCGTGTGCAGAGTGAAATGTCTTGTCGTGTGCAGAGTGAAATGTCTTGTCGTGTGCAGAGTGAAATGTGTCATCGTGTGCAGAGTGAAATGTTTTACCGTGTTCAGAGTGAAATGTCTTGTCGTGTTCAGAGTGAAATGTCTTATCGTTAAACCCCGCCTCGAGGCGCATTCACCTTCCCTTGTTTCTGCTTTCTGAATCGGCTTCTGTCTGTCTTATTTGTTATTTCTGCCCATTGATGAACGTTATGTATATTTATTTATGTTTTTTTCTGCCACGTGTGATTGTATATTCCTAGATTGCATGGTTTGAACATCGCCACACTTTAGACAATCGCCAGTGTCAATCTTCTAATCGTCGCTAAATTACTGTACACGATCACAAAAATAAACTCAATACATTCATCAATAACACCGTGGCTTTTTTTGCCCCCTTTTTGAGACCACAGTGTTATTGGCGAATGTGAAAAGGTGGCGTTTTTGTTGTTATTTGTGCTTGTGCACCGCTGCTAATGCAGCAGCAGCATTATCACTGAATGATTTATTTATAAAGATCGTGGCTCTTGATTTGAAGCTTTTGTGACTGCAAGGATTCATATTGTTAGGTTTTTTCGGTAAAGTCACGTAGGTAAAAAAAATAAAAGTACCCACCCTCAACCAGTATATATACAAGGACTGTTTTCTTGGAATTTCTCTCACTTGATACAGCTATCTTGCTGTGACGGTTCCACCTGAAGACGAAAGCTTGTGTTGCCTCCGAAACGTCGTGATTTTTTTTATTTTACTTTTATTAATTATTTTTTTTTACCTACGTGACTTTACCGAAAAAAACCAAGAATATCGTGGCTCTTCATCGCAAGGCCCCGCGGCCACTGGCGGCCCCCGGTGGCCTTGAGTGCGGCCCCCTGGCAATGCACAACACGTGACGACAACACCCCCCATCATCACCATCATCGTGCTGCTGTCAAACACCCCAATGGTTTCAAATGTGTGGCGGGCCCTCGAACTGATGATGTCTCACCGACGAAAGTGCCCCCTCCCCTCGCTCTGAAAGTGAGTGAATAAATTTCAATTTAAAGATTTCGTGACTGCAGGGATTCATCTTCTTGGTCCTTTCGGTAAAGTCACGTAGAAGGGAAATAATAAAATAATAAAAATAAAACATAATAAAATACAATTCTCACGACGTTTCGGTCACCTGAGGACGGCTGCTTGCGTTGGGGCCGAAACGTCGTGAGAATTGTAATTTTATTATGTTTTATTTTTATTATTTTATTATTTCCCTTCTACGTGACTTCACCGAAAGAACCAAGAAGATGAGTGAATAAACACTGAGAAACAACCACGAGGAACGCCCCCCCCCCCCCGTGGGTCGTGATTCACAGCGCTCAAGAGGGCCGAGGATGCGATTCCAGAGCCGAAAGGTCGGCAGGTTCGAATCCTGGCAATGGAAAGTGAACCGATTAAAAAAAATACTGGCCCCAAGATGCATCGGTCAAGGCACCTTGGCGGAGTGTGAGTGAGCGAGTGTGCAAGCGAGGGGAGCGGGGGCATAGCGGTTAGCGCGCTGCACCACGAACCCGGCGGACCGAGTTCGATTCCCGCTCACGGCCAACACCGGTGACGAATATCCGAAACGGTCCTGGGTCCCCGCAAGGTCGACTCAGCCCCAAAAATGAGTTCCTGGTGTGGTGTGTAAACATCGCCACTGGGGAGACAAAGGCGGTCGGGCGTGGTGCTGGCCACCCACCCCCTCGTGTGCCGTGCCGGCCTTTATAGGTGCTACTCGCTAACAGCACTTGTCCCCAACGGTATCTTAAGGCTCGATTTAAAGCTTTCGTGACTGCAGGGATTCATCTTCTTAGTTCTTTCGGTAAAGTCACGTAGAAGGGAAATAATACGATAATGATAATAATAAAATAATGTGAGAATTGTATTTTATTATGTTTTATTTTTATTACTTTATTATTTCCCTTCTACGTGACTTTACCGAAATAACCAAGAAGATGATATCTTAAGGCTATACGGGGGATCTTTGTCTTGTGCACGCGAGGATGCTTGAACCCATGATGATGATGCAGACTCGAGACCTTGGAGAATCTCGACAATGAATGAGAAACTGAGAGAAGGCAATTTGAGTCACCCCGAGGGGACAGTTGAACTTCTTTCGCACCGTACATAGCAAAACCTCGCTCATTGGAGGTGCATGGTTCTATTAAAATGTTTGAAATATGCGACCAACTTATTCTTAGGTTTTTTTCGGTAAAGTCACGTTGGTAAAAAAATTAAATTAATAAAAGTAAAATAAAAATAAAATAAACATCACGACGTTTCGGAGGCAACAAAAGCTTCCGTCTTCAGGTGGAACCGTCACAGCACGATAGCTGTATCAAGTAAGCTATCGTGCTGTGACGGTTCCACCTGAAGACGGAAGCTTTTGTTGCCTCCGAAACGTCGTGATTTTCATTCAATTTTTATTTTTTACCTTCGTGACTTTACCGAAAAAACCTAAGAACATGAATCCTTGCAGTCACGAAAGCTTCAAATCTAGAATGTGACCAACTGTTCATTCGCATAATGCTGCACGGCTGATGTGATGCGTTCAAATGTTTGTTTTACATGAATGAACAGATATGCGGTGAAGGGGTTGGGATTGTCTGCGTGTTTATTTTGTTAAACTGAACTTACGTTGCTCCAAATCGGGGCGAATGATTTCGTGTTCAGTTTTAAAAAAAAATCTCCCCGTGGAACACGTGGAGAAACGTCGGACATGGCGCCGAACCAGGGCTGCCACCTGTCCGGGTTTGACTCCGATAGTCGGTAAATTGGCATCTGTGTTTCGGGTGGCAGGGATTGATTGATTTGGAGCGAGATCTGGTACCGGTATTGACCTTTTTTTCCAGTAAACTACTGCACAGTGTTGGTAGATCTTAGGCCGACGAAGAAGAATGGCCGAGTTTCGTCTCCAGTGGTGGTGCGGGGCACGAGCCTAGCACGGCACCAGCCTAGCACGGCACCAGCCTAGCACGGCACACGCCTAGCACGGGCTCTACAACATCGGGCACCAGCCCTGCACCCTCATAGCACCGGCCCAACCATAAACATTTATATTTTATTTTACCAGGTAAGGCCCCACTGAGCTATGTAGCTCTTTTTTCAGAAGCGACCTGGCCACAAACGATAGCTCAACTAAGTGGCTTATCATCACGTGGACATTAACAGCAGCCAAAATGTGGAGTGGAAAATAGACGGAGGACCCGGAGAAAACCCCACGAGACCACGGGGAGAGAGACACACAAACTACAAGCTTACAGGCGTCAGGATCGGGATCGAACCAACGACCTCCCCTACACCAGGCGAGGTAGTTAACATCTCGCCACCGTGGCACCTGCACCTACAGATAGGACCACCAGCTCAGCCCCCTGAAACGTCACGTGGCCACCAGGCAAGTCCACTCTCGATTTGAAGCTATCGTGACTGCAGGAATTGCTCTTTGGTTATTTCGGTGAAGTCACGTAGAAAGAAAATAAGTTAAATAATAGAATACGACGTTTCGATTGCAACACAAGCAGTCGTCATCAGGTAGAACTAAATTTGAGAGACAAAACACAGACACGGAGACACACAGACAGACACACAAGCAGAGAGAGACAACACAGAGACACACAGAGAGAGACACACAACTGCCTATTTTTCTCTCTAAAATGTACCAGGCTTTCATAGGTCTATTCGCTCTTTCTCTCCCCCGGCCGCTTCGGGGTGGATTTCCACACAACTCTCTCTAAAATGTACCAGTCTTGCTGGATCTTTCTCTCCCCCGGCCACCGCGGGGTGGATTTCCACACAACTCTCTCTAAAATGTACCAGTCTTGCTGGATCTTTCTCTCCCCCTGCCACCGCGGGGTGGATTTCCACACAACTCTCTCTAAAATGTACCAGTCCTGCTGGGTCTTTCTCTCCCCCGGCCACCGCGGGGTGGATTTCCACACAACTCTCTCTAAAATGTACCAGTCTTGCTGGATCTTTCTCTCCCCCGGCCACCGCGGGGTGGATTTCCACACAACTCTCTCTAAAATGTACCAGTCTTGCTGGATCTTTCTCTCCCCCTGCCACCGCGGGGTGGATTTCCACACAACTCTCTCTAAAATGTACCAGTCTTGCTGGGTCTTTCTCTCCCCCGGCCACCGCGGGGTGGATTTCCACACAACTCTCTCTAAAATTTACCAGTCTTGCTGGATCTTTCTCTCCCCCGGCCACCGCGGGGTGGATTTCCACACAACTCTCTCTAAAATTTACCAGTCTTGCTGGGTCTGTCTCTCCCCCTGCCACCGCGGGGTGGATTTCCACACAACTCTCTCTAAAATTTACCAGTCTTGCTGGGTCTTTCTCTCCCCCTGCCACCGCGGGGTGGATTTCCACACAACTCTCTCTAAAATTTACCAGTCTTGCTGGGTCTTTCTCTCCCCCTGCCACCGCGGGGTGGATTTCCACACAACTCTCTCTAAAATTTACCAGTCTTGCTGGATCTTTCTCTCCCCCGGCCACCGCGGGGTGGATTTCCACACAACTCTCTCTAAAATTTACCAGTCTTGCTGGGTCTTTCTCTCCCCCGGCCACCGCGGGGTGGATTTCCACACAACTCTCTCATTGACATGCTAATTTCTCTGCTCCCGCAGACCCACCTCGCTCTCTGCCCCCCCCCCTCTCTCTCTATTTAAGGCCTCGACACAGAGGCATTGGGTCTCTGTGTGTCTATGTTGTGTGTCTCTCTCTGTGTGTCTATGCTGTGTGTCTCTCTCTGTGTCTCTTTGTTGTCTCTCTCTGTGTGTATATGTGTGTGTCTCTCTCTGTGTGTCTATGTTGTGTGTCTCTCTCTGTGTGTATATGCTGTGTGTCTCTCTCTGTGTGTCTCTCTCTGTGTCTTTTTGTTGTCTCTCTCTGTGTGTCTATTTTGTGTGTCTCTCTCTGTGTGTCTATGTGTGTGTCTCTCTCTGTGTGTCTCTCTCTGTGTCTCTTTGTTGTCTCTTTCTGTGTGTCTATGTTGTGTGTCTCTCTCTGTGTGTCTCTCTCTGTGTGTCTATGCTGTGTCTCTCTCTCTGTGTGTCTCTCTCTGTGTCTCTTTATCTCCCTCTGTGTGTCTATGTTGTGTGTCTCTCTCTGTGTCTCTTTGTTGTCTCTCTCTGTGTGTCTATGTGTGTCTCTCTCTCTGTGTGTCTCTCTCTGTGTCTCTTTGTTATCTCCCTCTGTGTGTCTTTGTTGTGTGTCTCTCTCTGTGTGTCTCTCTCTGTGTCTCTTTGTTGTCTCTCTCTGTGTGTCTATGTGTGTGTCTCTCTCTGTGTGTCTCTGTGTTGTCTCTCTCTGCTTGTGTGTCTGTCCGTGTGTCTCCGTGTCTGTGTTTTGTCTCTCAAATGTAGTTCTACCTGATGACGACTGCTTGTGTTGCAATCAAAACGTCGTAATATATTATTAAATTTATTTTATTTCTACGTGACTTTACCGAAAGAACCAAACATCAAGGCCACTCACTCTCCTTCGCGGTGAGCCGCTGTCACTGCGGCCCCCTCCACACAGCAGCTCAGAGGTCGCAAACGGGTTTTGATTCCTTACCCGTACCCGGCCGCACCAGGGTCGCAAATAGGTACCCGTACCCGGCCGGGTACAGGTACCCGTTCCCTACCCGAAATGAGTGACAAACGGTTACTCACCAGTGACTCACGGCCTACCCGTACCCGTACCCGGCCGCACCAGGGTCGCAAACGGGTACCCGTACCCGGCGGGGTACGGGTAGCCGGGTATCAGATAGGGTACGGGTATCGGGTACCCGGCTGCGGAGATGCCTAAAGGCGCCTTCATGTCATCCGACGGTTGGACTTGGTCCGCAATGTCACCGTCAGCATCTGCGACGGGTCTCCTCGCGATCGAGAGCTCAGTTGGAGGGAGACGGCTGCGGTGTCACTTTGTGAACGCCGCGTCGCGCCCCCGTCCTGATGCGCAAACCCCTGCAGCAGCAAATTGCGAAACTCCAGCCGGCGGTCAACGCTCGAGGTGGACTGCGACCCTCAAAGGAATGGCGCCACTCTCGTGGTCACCCCCCCCCCCCACCATCACCCCCCCCCCCCGTGATCCGTGGATCTAACAAATCACTCGAGACGCCGGTGTACGGCAGCCAAGGGCAGTTGACGCGAACGCTGTCGCAAGAGGTCACACGTTCGGCGCAGCGTTCCACCGCTGACCACGCGTGACGAACGAACGAATGAGTGAATGAACGAGTGAGTGAATGAATGAGTGAATGAACGAATGAGTGAACGAATGAGTGAATGAATGAGTGAACGAATGAGTGAAAGAATGAATGAACGAATGAGTGAATGAATGAGTGAACGAATGAGTGAAAGAATGAATGAACGAATGAGTGAACGAATGAGTGAATGAATGAGTGAACGAATGAGTGAGCGAATGAGTGAACGAATGAGTGAACGAATGAGTGAAATAATGAATGAGTGAACGAATGGGTGAAATAATTAATGAAGGAATGAGTGAACGAATGAGTGAACGAATAAGTGAATGAATGAGTGAACGAATGAGTGAAAGAATGAATGAACGAATGAGTGAACGAATGAGTGAGTGAATGAGTGAATGAATGAGTGAGTGAATGAGTGAATATATGAGTGAGCGAACGAATGAGCGATTGAATGAGTGAATGAATGAGTGAACGAATGAGTGAACGAATGAGTTCCGCCGTGGTGGCGCTCCCCCTCCCGCCCTCCCCGTAGCGGTGCTCTCCCTGTTGGGCAACGGCGCCGTGCTGGGAGTCGCGGCGCGCCGCTGGGCACGGCTCAATGGCCCCGAGCTGCTGTCGGTGAACCTGGCGCTCACCGACCTGGGCATCGCCGCCTCCATCTACCCGCTGGCGGTGGCCTCGGCGTGGAGCCACCGCTGGCTCGGGGGGCAGTCCGTGTGCACCTACTACGCCTTCGCGGGATTCTTCTTCGGCACAGCAAGCATGGGGACACTCACGGCCATGGCCGCGGTGCGTTACAAGGGCACCTCGACGCAGGTCCACGGTGAGAGTTGGTGCATCTCGTTGTTGTTGTTATTGTTTGTGGTTGTTGTCAACAACACGGCCTCCTTCGTGGATGGAACGTCGAAGACGCGAGGTCACAGTGACCGTGGCCATGCAAAGCAAACTAAGGACCGGTTGTACTGGTAGGAACCTCCTGGTTACACCAGCCCACAGGGGATTATTGTGTCCGTCGTGCAGGGAGGGGCTGGGTGGGGAGGGAGGGGCTGGGTGGGGAGGGGCTGGTGGGGAGGGGCTGGGTGGGGAGGGTGGGGCTGGGTGGGGAAGGGCGGGTGGGGAGGGGCTGGGTGGGGGGTGGGAGGGGTGGGGCTGGGGCTGGGTGGGGAGGGGCTGGTTACCCCGTGGTGCCCTTATAAAACTCAACGTTTAACCTACTCACGCCGGCTTGTGCCCGCCCTCACAGTCGGCCATATTTGCGGAATACACCACGCCGCCGTTGACCCTGGCCATTGACCGAGCAACCCAACGTTCCTACCAGCTCCCTCCGCAGGAATGTGTTTTGGGAGATCGTGCGTGCCTGGTCAGGGTGCCATGGGAATTCCGTCTAGCCCTAATTGACTGGCGCGTAAACCCGACCGGGTTCGCTGTTCAGCGGTCGTAGGAACGCAGCGGGAACAGGGTTTTCATGAATAAATAAAGACATTCCCATCGTTGTTTTTTTTCTCTTTTACGGCTCTCCACTAGATTAAGCTTGGAGCACTTCTGTTTTATTCACTCTTTGGTGTTTGTAATTATGGATTGGAAAGATTCGATGCGTTTTTTAACACGTCAATAGTTTCTTTAGCTGTGCCTTTTTCTTTACGACAGAACCCTTGGTAAGTGAAATGGATTGCACCCCCCCCCCCCCATCTCTGGTGGTTTCGGGTTTTTTTTGCTGTCAATTATCCATCGTTGGCTTAGCTGTAGACCATCGCCCTCTAAATCCTCTACCCGGAGAGACGCCGCCTGGCACCACCGCCTCTTGTCGCTGTTGCAATGGACAACGCGACAAATAAATTCGCGGTGTCATCCGAGTAAGTTCTTAGGAGAGCCAATGAACATTTTTTGAGGGTTTTTGGAAGCAAACACGCGGGGAAAGTCGCACGCTGTGATTCTCCGAATGCGTGGTGAGCGACAGCACGGAGAGTCGGGGCACCGCGTTGGTGAGGTGTTAACTATCTCGCCTGGTATACAGGAGGTTTGCGGGCTAGATCCAAACCCTATTTCTTGTATACAGTATTTTGAGTTTGCATGCCTTTCTCTCTCCGTGGTCACGTTTCATTTTTCTCCCGGTCCTCCGGTTTTTACCCTCCACATTCATAATTCAACGTCACGCGTTCAGAGTATTTGGCTGCTACGATACATGTCCACGCGGCGACGAGCCCCTTCCTCGAGCTATCATTTGTGATGGCGACATCGCTTCTGGAAAAGAGCGATGCAGCTCAGTGGGCCCTTACCTGGTCAAGTAAAAAATTAACCCGTAAAAACAATGTTTTTCACTATAAATCCTTTATATGCGTGGCATCGGTTTTATTTTATTATTCATCTCTGTTTTTCTTGAGTAAGAGTTTCATTTTTATCACATTGGTATTTTAAATTAAATATGAAAAAAAAATCCCTAAAAAGTGGAAAATTTTGGAATTTTTTTTCATGAAAATAAATTGTCACGCACAACGAGTCTGTGTGCAAAATGTCAGCTCGATTGGATCACGGGAAGTGGGTTAAAAAACGACCGAAAGATTTGCACGGTCGTAAGCGCGCAAGCAAGCAAGCAAGTGAACTTAATATAAAGGATTTAAAAATAATACAAAATATTTAAAAAATACTTTTTTTTTTAAACACGCTTTAATGAAAGTACTGTCCGAGCTGCCCCTCCCCCTGCCCCCTTTCCCCCATCGCCCCTCCCCTCCTTCCACATCCCCTGCCCCTGGGCGTGGCTCCCCGAGGCTTGCCGTGACGTCAGGGACCACGTGGTGATTTACAGGCAACGTGAGTTGAGCGTGGACAATTAGAGTCGTAAAAAAGATTCTAAAAATGTTTTCAATGCAAGAATATAGTATTGTAATCAGTATGACATACCTATACCAAGTTTGCAGTCGATACGACATTGGGAAGACGGTTGAAATTGAGTTACAAGATTTGAGGATACAACAGACAGTGAGTTCAATTAAAGCGTGTAAAATGTTTAAAAATATATATATTACAATTTTTATGATAGAATATAGTCTTGTCATCAGTATGACATAAGTATACCAAGTTTGCAGTCGATAGCACATTGGGAAAGTGGGTCAAAATTGAGTTAGAAGATTTTTTGAGGATACGACAACAGACGGAGTGAGTTAAATAAAAGCGTGTAATAAAAAAGTTGCTGACCAATCTCGGTTTGTGCAATTAGCGATGGTACGCTATTGGGTCACCTCTGGTTCCTCCGCTCTCCTCTAACAGGCAATGAACTCGTCAACAAAAGCAAGAATAACAACTAAATATGGCCAATCATAATGCAGAACCCTTGTGAAAAATACAACTTTTAAAAGCCTGAGTGAGGTTTGTCTGAATAATTTATATTCGTAATTTGTTTTGTACGATGTCCCAAGCTGACGGTGGCACAGTGGTTCCACCACGCTGCGCTTAAAAACCCGAGTTCAATTTTCGGCCACAGCTAATGCCATTTTTATTTAAGTGACATCCGAACCACTTCTGGTTCATCCACGTCGCTGGCCCGCACTACGCTAATCTCCTGCTGTTGCGCGTGGCAGCAAATGTGTTCAGGAGCTATGCGCCAGCGTCGGGCTCTGCTGCTCGCCACGAGAGGATTTTCAGGAAGAGAGTTTGCATAGCTTTTGCTATTCCTCTGCTGAAGGAGCGGAGATGACAGTGGTGTACTACGTTGCCCACAGTTTGAGTTTGCATGGCCACAATCACCTTGCTGTGGGTCGCCTTTAATTTTCCGAACCGCACTGACCGCCGTGTCGAAGTCCACTCGAAACGAACGACGCCGCGTGGGATAAGGGGGAGGAGGGTCATCATCCCTCGAGCGGCGGACAGAACGCCGTGAATCGTCACCCCTAGGAGTCGAGCAACGGGGTCGTGAGGTGGCCGCGTGCTCGGCGTGCCGTCCGTCGCGCTGCGAGGTCACGGATGCGCGTGGCGATGGCTCCGCACGGGGTCGCCGCAAGTTGCCCGCCGGGGTTGACTTCCTGGGGCCAGACCCACTGGGCGAGCAATTAGAACCGCGCACTCCGGGACAAAAAGAGAAACCAGAGGTCTCTGCGGCAGTGCGTGACCGTCACGTGACATTTTGCTTAAATGTCCCATCTGCGTGTCAGCTGGCCAATGCACCCCCATGAGAAGCAACACATCTCGTCGCAGAGGGGGGTGGGGGCTACAAAGATTTTGTCGTGATTAGTTTCCACCCCCTCCCCCTCCCTTCCACTCGATGTCACAAATTCGGGGTCACGATGGAGGCGAATTTAGTAGCTGACGAGTGGGAGGAAAGAGCAGTCGTTGAGCTCAATCTCTCTCCTCTCTCTCTAAGGGTGAATTGACGGCCAACGGGGGATTAGGGCTACCGATGCCGCCGCCGCTGCTGCTGCTGTAGATTTAAGAAGATTGATCGAGGGCAGCGAACGACGGCGACGATTTAGCTGCCCTTCGAGGCGGGGCAAAAAGTCGAGAGTGTTTGGGGAAGTCAGGCACGGGCTTGTCCCCCTCGTAGACGAGTCAGCTGATGGAGCCGAAAGTGGAGCAACGAAAACGTCGTCTCCACTTCAGAGCTGTGTACCCCCCCCCCCCCGACATAACCGTCGCTCGTTGACTCGTGAACAAATAGAAACCCCACACAGCCTCCGTGTCTGTGCCTTAGAAGATTCATCTCATCCCCCCCTCCCCACGTCAATCACATGCTGCGATTGGTTGCTCGGCAAAAGTTGAATTTGATTGAAATTTTTTTTTTACGCTCAGCTATGTCTCAGGACGGCAGTGATGAACTTTCACAATAATGTTGGTGGACTACAAGCTCACAAGTTTCATTGCGGATGATCTTATCTCAAATAGGGGGCGGAGATCGGATCACGAGCGCCATGATTTTGATGTGAGCGACGTTCACTGGCATTCTTGGAATGTTTGTAAGGTTGACGCCTTCCACAATATCGAAAACAACTCAAAGCACACTGGTTGGCTTTGATCAGAAGAAACAAACAACACGAAAGGTGACGTTTCGGGCACTAGACCTTCTTGAGAGAACGTTTACAATGACGCAAAAGACATTGAGCACATTGTCAGCTATTATGTTTTTTGTTCGTTTAAGGTCACACAGTGGTATTTATGAATGTGTTGAATTTGATTTTGCATGCATGTATGTTGAATTTCTTTTGCACCGTACGTAGCCAACCGTGATAATCGAACACATTGCTAAAAACACTAGCATACGATTGTATAAATATTTAATTTATGAATGCGAACAATGAGTCTGTACATTTACAAACAGTTTATTGGAAGAAAAAAAATATTTAGAAAAATAAAGATATTGTTGTGACCGAAAACTCAACCGAGAATATTTATTTTATATATAAAAATATCTATTAAAAAAAAAAAATTTGTCCCAAATAAAAACTCCCGCAATCTGCCAACTAAAATTGGCTGTCCAATGGTTCACCAATTTTCTTGAAGTGAATGTCGTTTCACATTGATCGGCACTATGGATTTTCACCGCTGCTCCCCTGATTCGACAGAACGTGTTCACTGATTCGAAGAGATATTCACCTTTGAACATTTTCCGCAAGAGCACACGCACACACACTCACAAGTGGTACTACACAATTGCCTCTGAAGCCAGTAAACGTTACATGTTCACTGGGTGCAATTTGAAGGAAAAACATTCTTACTTATTACGTCACTTCTGTTCACCCAAAAAAGTCTCACCGAGTCTCAAGACTCTCGTTCAGGAGGGTCCTGATACGTTGTTTTGCAGTAAGGCACGATGTAGTTCAAGTTTAAGTTCATTTATTAGGTATATAGCCCTGTGAGCCATTTGGCTCTTGAATCGGGTGCAACCGCAACAAACAGAAAACAAAAACATGAACAAGAAAACATCTTAAAGTGACTATGTGCAAACAGAAAATCCAAGAAAAGACAGCAAAATATTGCATAAAAAGCACCGTACACCAATACTGTGTGCAAAAATCCCGGTGGGATGCAAGTCAAACAACAACAACCACAAGACAACTTAGATTAAGGCCATCAGTCTAACTCTGTACTACAACAAACAAACAAGGCCAAACCAAAAAACTTTTCAAAAATCACCAAAATAAAGCCATAAAAGCAATGAAACAGTGGTCATAGGAATTGTGACCGAATTTTCACAATAAACGACATAAACAACATGTATTACCAAACTCTGCAGCCATAGCTGGCTGCACGAGTCACTCCACAACAACAGGAGCATCAGTCGGAGTGTCAACATTTTTCAATGCACCTTGTAGCCCCTGTTGCTGCTGCTGCGACTACTGTGTGTGATCCCAATTGAGTAAGTAGCAGAGTCATTTCTTTCAGCATTTGGATATTGTGGCCAATAACAGCCTTTATAGATCTAAGCCGAGTGCTGGAGTTAAACCGTGGACTGGAGGGCAACCGGGGAACGGATTGAATCCAGCCAGAGTTGACGGACCCGTGCGATGGATGGAATGGAAGCGGTTGAGAAAGGGTTGTCTCCACGTGTCCTTTCAAATTATCCTCGCCACGTGCGTCCTCTTTATTTCATACTCACGCCATCGTCTCACCCCTGCTCGCTCGGACCCGATGAGAGCGATCGTAATGATGGCAACAATGATAACGACGATGACAATCTTCTTGGTTCTTTCGGTAAAGTCACGTAGAATGGAAATAATAAAATAATAAAAATAAAACATAATAAAATAATTCTCACGACGTTTCGGCCACAACGCAAGCAGACCTGTTCTTCACCTGAGGACGGCTGCTTGCGAGAAGACAGACCTGTTCTTCTCCTGCGGACGGCTGCTTGCGTTGTGGCCGAAACGTCGTGAGAATTGTTTTATTATGTTTTATTTATTTTATTTTATTATTTCCATTCTACGTGACTTTACCGAAAGAACCAAGAAGATGAATCCCTGCAGTCACGAAAGCTTTAAGACGATGACAATGATAACATAATGATGCCGGATGTAATTACCGGCGAAGCGTCGTGCTCAAATTCTAAATGTTGTGGGTTTACTCTCCAACACACCGGTGGGCTGAAGTAGTAGCTAATTGGCGCGTTTTGTTTACGTGACAAACCTTAATGGTTGGATGTGTCGGGTGGTGGCTGGTTAACGACACATTTATACCGACGCGATCTAACCCAAAGAAACCTCTATTGTGGATACACTTTCTGTGTTGGTCGAATGCCTTAGCAGGCGAAGGAGGCGGTGGCATGACAATAAAGCACCTCCGATTAGCACTTTTGGCTACGTACGGTGCGAAAAAGTTCAACATATATACAACCCAAAAAAACCCCTTAATTATGAATAATATTGGTCGCGAAAGCCTACGTTTGAAACTGACAATGACAACACATTTCCGTGTGCTGTCCGAGGTCGGTGCGAGGGAAACTTTTCCTTACCTCTCTAATAGCTCAAATTAACCTTTGGTGGACAACCACACATCAAAGACAAAGATCCCCCATATAGCCTTAACAGACTGTAGGGGCAAGTGCTGTTCGCGAGCACCTACTTAGGCCGGCACGGCACACGAGGGGGTGGGTGGCCGGCACCACGCCCGGCCGTCTTTGTCTCCCCAGTGGCGATGTTTACACACCGCACCAGGTACTCATTTGAGGCTGAGTCGACCTATGGGAGGCCCCAGGACCGGTTCAAATAATCGTCACCGGTGTTGGCCGTGAGCGGGAATCGAACCCGGGTCGCCAGGTTCGTAGCACAGCGTAGCGCTAACCGCTACACTACCGCTCCGCAAGTCAATACACACAGTGACACACGCACACAGTGACACACACACAGTGACACACACACAGTGACACACACACACAGTGACACACACAGTGACACACACACAGTGACACACACACACAGTGACACACACACAGTGACACACACACACAGTGACACACACACACAGTGACACACACGGTTAAGATGCCGTTAAAATGAAAGAAACGATTCGGCAATGCTGCTAACTGCTGCGTTGGCAGTGGTGCACAAAGCGCTGTGAACCGGGAAAAATAACCCCACAGTGCATTCATCAATAAGACAGAGGCCTTAAAATGAAACGTCGAATGGGTAAAGCTTGGGTAGTAATTTCTGAACACAATTACAGGTTTATCGATTATTATCTTTTAACAACTCTGTTTCGTGACAAGGTCGCGGGGTGCGTGGGGGGGGGGGCGTGAGTGCACCCGTAAGTGTGTACGTAATCATTGTTGTGTGTGTGTACGTTGAACTTATTTCGCACCGTGCGTAGCCAACCGTGCCAATCGGAGGTTTGTCGTTAATATTCTTAGGTTTTTTCGGTGAAGTCACGTAGGAAAAAAAAATTAAATTAATAAAAGTAAAATAAAAACAAGTATAACCCGTAAAAACAAAGTTTTTCACTATAAATCCTTTATTTGCGTGGCGGCTAGAGTCCTCTCGTCCTCTGGCTTGAGATGGCTGCCACCTATGGGTCAGATGATTGCATTGCACCATTAAGCAATTGGTAATTAAATATATTTTTGTCCTAAAAAGTGTAAAATTTTGGAAAAAAAATTTCACGAACATTAATTGTCACGCACAACGAGTCTGTGTGGAAAATGTCAGCTCGATTGGATCACGGGAAGTGGGTTAAAAAACGACCGAAAGATTTGCACGATCGTAAACAAGCAAGCGAACTTAATATAAAGGATTGAATAAAATAAAAATAAAAATCATGATTTTTATTTTATTTTATTTTTATTAATTTTAATTTTTTACCTACGTGACTTTACCGAAAAAACCTAAGAATATGAATCCTTGCAGTCACGAAAGCTTCAAATCTAGAAGTTTGTCGTTAACCTCGATCGATGTTTCTCGTCCGCAGTGAAGAAAATGACCAAGCGAGCGATGGTGGTGGTGATCGTGGCGGTGTGGGCCTACGCGATGCTCTGGTCCTGCCTCCCTCTCCTGGGATGGGGCAGGTGCCTTCTCGTCTCTACCTCCGCCAAAGACAAAGACCCCCCCCCCCCCTCTATAGCCGAAACAGGCCTTTGGGCCACATTCACAATGCCAGGGTGGCGAGATGTTAACTACTCTTAGGTTTTTTCGGTAAAGTCACGTAGGTAAAAAATAAAATTAAAAGTTAATAAAAGTAATAATGGAAATAAATGTATTAACTTTTAATTATTTTTTTTACCTACGTGACTTTACCGACAAAACCTAAGAGTATGAATCCTTGCAGTCACGAAAACTTCAAATCTAGAAGAGATGTTAACTCCCTCGCCCGGTATACAGGGGGTCGTGGCTTCGATCCCGACCCTGACACCTGTTGTATATTTGGAGTTTGCGTGTCTCTCTCTCTCCGTGGTCGTGTGGATTTTTTTTTCTGCTCTCGATTTCCACATAATAAGCAAACTTCGTTGAGCTGTCATTTGTGGCCAGGTCGCTTCTAAAAAGAGCTTTTCGCTCAGTGGGCCTTACCTGGTAAAATAAAAAAAAAATAGTCGATTTAAAGCTTTCGTGACTGCATGGATTTATATTCTTGGCTCTTTCGGTAAAGTCACGTAGAAGGGAAAAAATACAATTCTAAAAATAAAACATAATAAGATAAAATGCTCACGACGTTTCGGCCACAACGCAAGCAGCCGTCCTATTCTGTTTTATTTTTATTATTTTATTATTTCCCTTCTACGTGACTTTACCGAAAGAACCAAGAATTAAAAAAATAGTTTTATAGTTTCGTTTTTTATGACATCGATGCGCGCCAGAGCGTTTTCAACCCACTGCTGTATGGGTGGAGGCCTCCCCACGCCGCGTCGGTCAACTGGGGGTCGTGTGACCATATTTAACCTCTCCAAGTGAGTTGGTTAAGTTTGGGGGCAGCAGTGGCACGATCGGCGAAGATCTTTTGCTCGTAATCCACGGCCGTGAGGCAAGGCCAGGAACCTGAACTCAGGTCACGGGGTTCATAGCGGAGTGCAGTAACCACCGAAACGGCCAACTGCTCCCATCATCTGCATTTCATCATCAACATCATCAGCAATGGTCATCATCTGCCTGGAGAAGAAAAGTACAGGACGGTGCAGTCCTCTGTGAGAGTAGGAGAAGCTCCTGTGCTATCTTGAAGAGGCAGCAGCGCAAATCTACCAAGGAAGGACTGGTGGCTGCACCTCAGAGCTCTACATCCTCCCTGACCTGTCCAGTGTGCCACAGGGAATTCCCGGCTCGGAATGGCCTGTTCAGCCATCTGCGCACTCATCAAAACCCAACAAAATGACAAACGTGCCATGGTCATCAGCAACTATGATGGACGAACGAGAGAGAGAGAGAGAGGGTTATCGAGGTCCCCATGAGTTACATCCTGGTTTCCCATCACTGCATTGCAAATAAAATTCGCACGCATTTTATTCCAACTGAATTCAAATCAAGTTCAGGTTCATTTATTAGGTATAGCCCTGTGAGCCATTCAGCTCTTGAATCGGGTGCAACCGCAACAAACAAATAACTAAAACATGAACAAAAAACATCTTAAAGTGAATATGTGACTAAGTGCAAACAGAAAATCCAATAAAAGATGGCAAAATATTGCAGAAAAAAACACCGTACACCAACGCTGTTTGCAAAAATCCCAGTGGGATGCAAGTCAAACAACAACAACAACAACCACAAGACAACTTATATTAAGGCCATCAGTCTAACTCTATACTACAACAAACAAACATGGCTAAACCAATACACTTTTCGAAATCACCAAAATAAAGCCATGAAAGCAATGCAAAAACAATCATAGGAACTGTGACGGAATTTCACAATAAATGGAATAAACAACATGTACTACCAAATGAGCTCTGTTAAACGTCACCATCACAATCATCATCATCAGTAACTGACAATTCACCGCGGGATCCAATGGCTCCCCGCACGTCACGTCGGCCACGCGGGTTGTTTATCCAGACTTCACCGCGCTGATCCATGACAAGTTGGGCAAGCGGTGGAGGGGCAGAACCTGTGCAGTATCTTCTTGGTTCTTTCGGTAAAGTCACGTAGAAGGGAAGTAATAAAATAATTAAAATAAAACATAATAAAATAATTCTCACGACGTTTCTTCACCTGAGGACGGCTGCTTGCGTTGTGGCCGAAACGTCGTGAGAATTATTTTATTATGTTTTTATTTTTTTATTTTATTACTTCCCTTCTATGTGACTTTACCGAAAGAACCAAGAAGATGAATCCCTGCAGTCACGAAAGCTTTAAATCGAAATATTACGGTGCAGTATCATTCACTGCCGCCCTTAGCCTTGGCCAGGAGAAGGATCAACGGGGCATCTGAGCAGCCGAGCCCAACATGTGTCTGTGAAGAACAGGCAGAGAGCAGCACTTTTCTCGTCAAGCAGCATGATCCATTACGGCAACTCCGGTCATCCTCGCAGCAGAAGCAGCAGCGGCGGCTTTTGGCTGACCATTGAACAAAGGCGGCGGTCACCGCATCGCACGCACTTTTAGATGCGCTTCTGCGGCCGTCCTCAATGCTCGACCTTTTCAATAAAATCATCTAATAATATCATCATCTAGATTGAAAAACTACTTTTTTCGTTCGAACTAGATTTTTGTGTTAGCCTATCGTCCTTCCTCCGCGCCTCCGATTAGCACGGTTGGCTACGTACGGTGCGAAAGAAGTTCAACATACTCACACACGTGCACGAGTGAACCGTCCACTGAGGGCCCGCATGGGGTGGTCTGTGCGCGTGTGGCGAGCAGCTACGGCGTGGAGCCGTTCGGCGTGTCGTGCACGCTGGCCTGGGCCGAGCTGCAGCTGACGCCGGGCGGCGCGGCCTTCCTGTACGCCATGTTCGTGCTCTGCCTGCTGTTGCCGGCGATCGCCATCGGCCTGTGCTACGCGGGCATCGTGTGCAAGCTGCGGCGCGCGTACCACCAAGTGCGCAGCAAGCGGCGCACGCCCACCGCTCGGCACGTCGAGAGCCGCCTCACCAAGGTGGCTCGCCCCTGCCCCTTCCCCGGGGGTCGTGGCATGAAATCCATGTCAGGGGTAGTGGAATTAAATCCATGTCATGGGTAGTGGAATGAAATCCATGTCATGGGTAGTGGAATGAAATCCATGTCAGGGGTAGTGGAATGAAATCCATCCCAGGCGTAGTGGAATGAAATCCATGTCATGGGTAGTGGAATGAAATCCATGTGATGGGATGTGGAATTAAATCCATCCCAGAGGTAGTGGAATGAAATCCATCCCAGGGGTAGTGGCATGAAATCCATGTCATGGGTAGTGGCATGAAATCAATCCCAGGGGTAGTGGAATGAAATCCATGTCATGGGTAGTGGAATGAAATCCATGTGATGGGATGTGGAATTAAATCCATCCCAGAGGTAGTGGAATGAAATCCATCCCAGGGGTAGTGGCATGAAATCCATGTCAGGGGTAGTGGAATGAAATCCATCCCAGGGGTAGTGGAATGAAATCCATGTGATGGGTAGTGGAATTAAATCCATCCCAGAGGTAGTGGAATGAAATTCATCCCAAAGGTAGTGGAATGAAATCCATCCCAGGGGTAGTGGCATGAAATCCATCCCAGAGGTAGTGGAATGAAATCCATCCCAAAGGTAGTGGAATGAAATCCATCCCAAGGGAAGTGGAATGAAATCCATCTCAGAGGTAGTGGAATGAAATCCATCCCAAAGGTAGTGGAATGAAATCCATCCCAGGCGTAGTGGCATGAAATCCATGTCAGGGGTAGTGGAATGAAATCCATGTCATGGGTAGTGGAATTAAATCCATCCCAGAGGTAGTGGAATGAAATCCATCCCAAATGTAGTGGAATGAAATCCATCCCAGGGGTAGTGGCATGAAATCCATGTCAGGGGTAGTGGAATGAAATCCATCCCAGGCATAGTGGAATGAAATCCATCCCAGGGGTAGTGGCATGAAATCCATGTCATGGGTAGTGGCATGAAAACCATCCCAGGCATAGTGGAATGAAATCCATCCCAGGCGTCGTGGAATGAAATCCATCCTAGGGGTAGTGGAATGAAATCCATCCCAGGGGTAGTGGAATGCAATACATTTTTGTGGAACAAGCCAGCAACACCGACGAATATCTGAGCTGTTCCTGGCCTCCCCACTGTTGTGTGCTGTGTTTTGTTTGATGTCATCATTACCTTATTTGTTCATTTGGCAAAGGAGGGGGGAGGGGTTTGAGGGAGACCATCCCGAAACGTCTAATTATTGAAATACTGTAGGGCCCTACGGGAATGGTGAGGACCCACATTGGCCCCTCTTGTCACGTTTCGTATTTTGATGCCGGACACAAAGAGACGTGCGGAGTTACGTCCGTCACAATGGGCATCATTTTGTTTTGCAACTCCTTTCAGATCTGGGAAGCTAAGCAGGTGTTGAGCCTGGCTAGTGCGTGGATGGGCGACCACCGTGCAGGAACCGGTCGCCAGAGGGCTTGCGTGCGGGCGCTGCATGACGAGCAGCAAGAGGACAGGCCAGCACAATCCATGGTGATGGACTGCACTTCTATGCTCTTAGTGTAATGAGTTACTGGAAATCTGTAACACTACCAGACATCTGTGATACGGAGCTTCGTAGTTCATCGGATTCCTCCAATATAAATAAGTATTCTGATTCTGAAAGAACAAAAGAATCGGATTATGAAGTTTGTGGAACTTTCTGGACAGGATTGGGCAAAACCAAGCGCCACGTTTCACCCAGGCAATTGGAGAGCACAGACTGAGTGTTTCTCAACGAATATAAAAAAATAATAATAACATATTTAAAAATCACAGTTAAGAGACAAATAATACATATACTATAAAAATAATAAAACTAAATTTAAACTAAAACATTATCATCAATGGTCCTCCAACTCTCTCCGGGACACTGTTTGTTCCAGTGTCCAACCAGGCTGCTATTATTGTTGAATTTAAATCACCGTGAGCCACCAACTCAACGCCGCGAGGAAAATGTTTGCAATTTAAAAAGCGGTTACTTGAACGACGCCACCGATCTGCGTGCGAGTAGTGAGGATACATTTTATCTTCAGATAATAACAAACACAATGTGTTTATTAAGGAAAATGCTGCCACTTGCGTGGCCCTGCGTCCTCACCAACCCGCGGTGAGCGGCGTGGTGAGCGGCGTGGTGAGCGGAGTGGTGAGCGGTGTGGTGAGCGGAGTGGTGAGCGGCGTGGTGAGTGGTGTGGTGAGCGGCGTGGTGAGCGGTGTGGTGAGCGGCGTGGTGAGCGGAGTGGTGAGCGGCGCGGTGAGTGGCGAGGTGAGTGGCGTGGTGAGCGGCGTGGTGAGTGGCGAGGTGAGTGGTGTGGTGAGCGGAGTGGTGAGCGGCGTGGTGAGCGGTGTGGTGAGCGGCGAGGTGAGCGGCGTGGTGAGTGTCGTGGTGAGCGGCGTGGTGAGCGTCGTGGTGAGTGTCGTGGTGAGTGTCGTGGTGAGCGGCGTGGTGAGTGGCGTGGTGAGTGGCGAGGTGAGTGGCGTGGTGAGCGGTGTGGTGAGTGGCGAGGTGAGCGGCGTGGTGAGTGTCGTGGTGAGTGTCGTGGTGAGCTGCGTGGTGAGCGGCGTGGTGAGCGGCGAGGTGAGCGGCGTGGTGAGCGGCTTGGTGAGCGGCGTGGTGAGCGTCGTGGTGAGCGGCGTGGTGAGCGGAGTGGTGAGCGTCGTGGTGAGTGGCGTGGTGAGCGGCGTGGTGAGCGTCGTGGTGAGCGGAGTGGTGAGCGGCGTGGTGAGCGGCGTGGTGAGCGTCGTGGTGAGCGGCGTGGTGAGCGGCGTGGTGAGCGTCGTGGTGAGTGGCGTGGTGAGCGGCGTGGTGAGTGGTGTGGTGAGCGGTGTGGTGAGTGGCGTGGTGAGCGGCGTGGTGAGCGATGTGGTGAGCGGCGTGGTGAGCGGCGTGGTGAGCGGAGTGGTGAGCGGCGTGGTGAGAGGCTTGGTGAGCGGCGTGGTGAGCGGCGTGGTGAGCGGCGTGGTGAGCGGCGTGGTGAGCGGCGTGGTGAGCGGCGTGGTGAGTGGTGAGCGGTGTGGTGAGCGGTGTGGTGAGCGGTGTGGTGAGTGGCGTGGTGAGTGGCGTGGTGAGCGGTGTGGTGAGCGGCGTGGTGAACGGTGTGGTGAGTGGCGTGGTGAGCGGCGTGGTGAGCGGTGTGGTGAGCGGTGTGGTGAGCGATGTGGTGAGCGGTGTGGTGAGTGGCGTGGTGAGCGGTGTGGTGAGCGGTGTGGTGAGCGGTGTGGTGAGCGGCGTGGTGAGCGGTGTGGTGAGTGGCGTGGTGAGCGGTGTGGTGAGCGGCGTGGTGAGCGGCGTGGTGAGCGGCGTGGTGAGCGCCGTGGTGAGCGGAGTGGTGAGCGGAGTGGTGAGCGGCGTGGTGAGCGGCGTGGTGAGCGCCGTGGTGAGCGGAGTGGTGAGCGGCGTGGTGAGCGGCGTGGTGAGCGGCGTGGTGAAGCATGGTCAGACAACCCCCATGACTTACATCGCGTGGGTGGTGTGGGGGGGGGGGCTTTCATCCAGCAGTGGATTGAAAAAGGGCTGAATATGATGGCTGGGGAAAGGGGTGTATGTATGGTGGTGGGGGGGCGGTGGGGGAGGCGGGTGGGGGGCGGTGTAGGAGGGGGGTGGGGGGAAGGGGGTGGTGACGGGGGCGGTGTAGGAGGGGGGTGATGGGGGGGCGGTGAGGGGGCGGAAGGCGGTGGGGGGGTGGAGGAGGGGGGTGGGGGGAAAGGGGCGGTGGGAGAGAAGGGTGTGGTGGGTGGGGGGAAGGGGGTGGTGGGGGGGGGGTGGTGGGGGGGGGGCTGTGGGCATCTCCCGTGCCACGTGCTCGCGACCGTCACCAGCCCGTCGACGCGTGGCCGCGTTCGGTTTTTCTCTCTCTGACGTAACAGAGACGTCGGTTTCTGCGAACGTCCACGTCAAGCGGCGTGATGCTCGCGTTGTGACGCCTGTCAAAGTATTCTCTCGCACGGTGACTTGTTTTGAGAGCACAATTGAATACGAATACAAACACGCGTCCTCCCGAAGAAGGTGTTTGTAGTGCGCGGCAGTGCATACCCCCTCTCCCCCCTCTCAGGTGTTCGTGCTTCGATTCGTGTGATCTCCGCCTAAAAAAAATCGAACGTATGTACGCGTGTAAGCTGAACTTCTTTCGCACCGTACGTAGCCAACCGTGGCTAATCCAGACAAACGTGGGTGACCGTGCCGGATAAGGAAACACTGACAAAGACAATTGAACAATTTAGCCGAAGCGTGCGGCGGTGACGTGTTGGGAATTACACCGAGAGCCAGCGAGAGAGAGGGGGGGGGGGGATCGCGTGAATCTGGGGAACAAACCCAAAATCAGACGTCGCCCTGTGCGACTTTGGGACAGCAAGGGCGCGCCTGGGCTGGGCACAGCGAGATTGGCAGAGGGCCGATTGATGAGGCTGCGGTGGTTGTGAGTGGCAGTCGAAGGAGAGAGAGAAGCCTTGATGCAATGTACAAGGCAGTGTTTATGCAATGTATCTGGGATTATAGCAACACAATATCAGATGCATTGTATTTATGCAGCCAAGGCAGACCTTATAGATTGTATGATGTACAAGGCAGTATTTATACAATGTATCTGGGATTATAGCAACACGATATCACATACATTGTATGCATGCAGCCAAGGCAGACCTTACAGATTGTATGATGTACAAGGCAGTATTTATACAATGTATCTGGGATTATATAACCACAATATCAGATGCATTGTATGCATGCAGACAAGGCAGCCTTTATGCATTGTATAATGTGCAAGGCACCAATTATAAAAATGTATGTTACATTGTATACCCGTAAAATGTATACGTTGTAGATATGAACATGTTTGTATCGGTGCGATTGTGGGTTTGCCTGGCGTGTGAGTCGCTTGACGCTGGGGACACCGTAGCAAAGCGAGATGTTCCCACCTCTAGCAGATTATCCCGGTGAAATCATTGAATGAAAAAATTAACCCGTAAAAACAAAGTTTTTCACTATAAATCCTTTATATGCGTGGCGGCTAGAGTCCTCTCGTCCTCTGGCTTGAGATGGCTGCCACCTATGGGTCAGATGATTTCCTGCCACCATTAAGCAATTGGTAATGAAATATAAAAAAAAAATTCCTAAAAAGTGTAAAATTTTGGAAAAAAATTTCACGAAAATAAATTGTCACGAACAACGAGTGTGTAAAATGTCAGCTCGATTGGATCACGGGAAGTGGGTTAAAAAACGACCGAAAGATTTGCACGGTCGTAAGCGCGCAAGCAAGCAAACAAGTGAACTTAATATGAAGGATTTTAAAAATAAATCAGACGCCTGTCACGGTACGTCTCAACCATTTGGCACCGGTGTTCTCCCTGAAGGGACGGCCGCTGCCTGTGACTCACAGCCACCTGCGACAGCTGATCTCTGTGTGACCACGAATATTGGAGACGCTCCACCACTGAGTACGAATGTGAGCCTTGCCCACGCTGTGTTCCAGATGGCGGTGCTGGTGACTGTCGGCTTCATCGGCTGCTGGTCTCCGTACGCGATCGTCAGCCTCTGGTCGCTATTCCGCAGCCCGGGCTCCATCTCCCCGCTGGTGGCGCTGCTGCCCTGCCTCTTCGCCAAATCCTCCACGGTCTACAACCCCTTCATCTACTACCTGTTCAGCCGCTCCTTCCGCGCGGAGCTGCGCTCCATGGCCTGCCCCTGCCTCGACGCGCGGCGCCCGGGCGCGTCCAGCGAGAGCGCGCCCCCTCTGCCCCCCCAGCGCGCCGCGCGGAGGAGCTCCCAGCGCGTGTGGAGCATCACCGAGGCGAGGCCCGCGGGCAGGTCCCATCCGCCGGGCGACGGCGGCGTGGGTCTCCGCAGGAGCAGCGCCGCCGCCGCCGCTCGCGATGCCGCCGACGAAGCGGTGGAGGGCACGACGGATGACGACCCGCGCCCGTCGAAGGACGTCGCCGCGATGATCCCGCTCGTCAGCTTCGACGGCGGCGGCGGCTCCTACGCGCCGAGCTCGGAGGGGCTGCTGCTGCCGCCGCCGCCGTCTCCCGTGGGGGGCACGCACCGCGTGCTGCTCGAGACGGCGCCTGCGGGGCGCAAGCCGGAGAAGAGGGGGACGTAGCTCGTGGCCGCGTCTCGCGTGATTCCGCGTCTCGCGTAGGTTTCTGTAGCGATTAAAACACTCGTTCGTTTAGATGATCGTGTAGTTGTTCATAATGATGAGTGGTGGGGGCGGGGGGGGGGGGTTATTAAAAGTGGTGGTGTAGCTTTTGGCGAGGACAGGTGGGAGCGGTTAGGAGTTAGTGATAGGGGTTGGGGTAGTGATAGGGTTTGGGGTAGTGATAGGGGTTATGGTAGTGATAGGGGTTGGGGTAGTGATAGGGGTTGGGGTAGTGATAGGGGTTGGGGTAGTGATAGGGGTTATGGTAGTGATAGGGGTTGGGGTAGTGATAGGGGTAGTGATAGGGGTTGGGGTAGTGATAGGGGTTGTGGTAGTGATAGGGGTAGTGATAGGGGTTGGGGTAGTGATAGGGGTGGGGTAGTGATAGGGGTAGTGATTGGGGTAGGGATGGGGGTAGGGGTAGTGATAGGGGTAGTGATAGGGGCTGGGGTAGTGATAGGGGTTGGGGTAGTGATAGGGGTTGGGGTAGTGACAAGGGTTGGGGTAGTGATAGGGGTAGTGATAGGGGCTGGGGTAGTGATAGGGGTTGGGGTAGTGATAGGGGTTGGGGTAGTGATAGGGGCTGGGGTAGTGATAGGGGTTGGGGTAGTGATAGGGGTTGGGGTAGTGATAGGGGTAGTGATAGGGGTTGGGGTAGTGATAGGGGTTGGGGTAGTGACAAGGGTTGGGGTAGTGATAGGGGTTGGGGTAGTGATAAGGGTTGGGGTAGTGATAGGGGCTGGGGTAGTGATAGGGGTTGGGGTAGTGATAAGGGTTGGGGTAGTGATAGGGGCTGGGGTAGTGATAGGGGTTGGGGTAGTGATAGGGGTTGGGGTAGTGATAGGTGTTGGGGTAGTGATAGGGGTTGGGGTAGTGCTAGGGGTTGGGGTAGTGATAGGGGTTGGGGTAGTGATAGGGGTTGGGGTAGTGATAGGGGTTGGGGTAGTGATAGGGGTAGTGATAGGGGCTGGGGTAGTGATAGGGGTTGGGGTAGTGATAGGGGTTGGGGTAGTGATAGAGGTTGGGGTAGTGATAGGGGTAGGGATAGTGATAGGGGTTGGGGTAGTGATAGGGGTAGGGGTAGTGATAGGGGTTGGCGTAGTGCTAGGGGTTGGGGTAGTGATAGTGGTAGGGGTAGTGATAGTGATAGGGGTAGTGATAGGGGTTGGGGTAGTAGTAGGGGTAGTGATAGGGGTTGGGGTAGTGCTAGGGGTTGGGGTAGTAGTAGGGGTAGTGATAGGGGTTGGGGTAGTGATAGGGGTTGGGGTAGTGATGGGGTAGTGATAGGGGTTGGGGTAGTGATAGGGGTTGGGGTAGTAGTAGGGGTAGTGATAGGGGTTGGGGTAGTGATAGGGGTTGGGGTAGTGATAGGGGTTGGGCTAGTGATAGGGGTTGGGGTAGTGATAGGGGCTGGGGTAGTGATAGGGGCTGGGGTAGTGATAGGGGTAGGGGTAGGGGTAGTGATAGGGGTAGTGATAGTGATAGGGGTAGTGATAGGGGTTGGGGTAGTGATAGGGGTAGGGGTAGTGATAGGGGTTGGGGTAGTGATAGGGGTAGTGATAGGGGTAGTGATAGGGGTAAGGGTAGTGATAGGGGTAGGGGTATTGGTAGGGGTAGTGATAGTGGTAGTGATAGTGATAGGGGTAGGGGTAGTGATAGGGGTAGTGATAGGGGTAGTGATAGGGGTAAGGGTAGTGATAGGGGTTGGGGTAGTAGTAGGGGTAGTGATAGGGGCTGGGGTAGTGATAGGGGCTGGGGTAGTGATAGGGGCTGGGGTAGTGATAGGGGTTGGGGTAGTGATAGGGGTTGGGGTAGTGATAGGGGTAAGGGTAGTGATAGGGGTAGTGATAGGGGTAAGGGTATTGATAGGGGTAGGGGTATTGGTAGGGGTAGTGATAGGGGTTGGGGTAGTGATAGGGGTTGGGGTAGTGATAGGGGTTGGGGTAGTGATAGGGGTAGTGATAGGGGTAGTGATAGGGGTTGGGGTAGTGATAGGGGTTGGGGTAGTGATAGGGGTTGGGGTAGTGATAGGGGTAGTGCTAGGGGTTGTTTCAAGTGCAGGGAGAGGCGGCTGCAGTGAAAGGGAACCAAGACGGGAGAAGGAGCGAGAGAGCGAGACGGGGCGCAGCAGGGCGAGAGAGGCACAGGGAGGGACAGCAGAGGCTGGGAGCGTAAAGGGGTCGTCCATAAATGACGTCACGCACCTGGGGGGGGGGTCATTTGTGACGATGTGTGACGGAGGTGGGGAGGGAGAAATGTGACGTCACATCAAAATGCGCAACTTTAAATATAGACACGTTCTACTTAATTAAATAGACTTTTTAATAAATGTTTTCTCCTACAACATCAGAATGCACCGGCACATTAAATATGCACTATAATGACAATGTTTAAAGCGATTTGAAGCATGTTTTATTTTTTGGGGGGTGGGGCAGAGCTTTGTGACGTCATGTTTGACGGGGGGGGGGGGTCTGACTTTTTGTGTCGCCGTGTGACGAGGGGGGGGGGGGGTAAAAATCGTCAAAAATCGCGTGACGTCATTTATGGACGACCCCAAAGGACGGCAATGGGACAGAGCAGTGGAGAGATGAGAGAAGCGAGATTTTGGAATGGGGCAAGACCACGGAGGGAAGTTGCGGGCACGAGCGATGCATTGAGGCCGACAGCGATAGAAAACGGGGAGCCGATGGAATTGTCAAAGTAGAGCAGTGGGACTTGTGGGGAAGGTTAAACACGATCCGGGCTGTGAAATGACTGAAAGCGTGGGCAGGGAGGCTGAAAAGAAAATAAATGCAGTAGCCGATGTTCTGCTATCCATTCTAGATTTGAAGCTTTCGTGACTGCAAGGATTCATACTCTTAGTTTTTTTTTTTCGTTTTTTTACCTACGCGACTTTACCGAAAATAACTAACAGTTCTGCTATCCAGCTCTACAATGTGTGTGTGTGTTTAAATATCTTGCAAATTACTCGTTTGGGATTACGCCTCGCAAGATTTCTCTCCCTGCTGCGACAACTTCAGAAGTGCTTCCCGTGTTTAGTTTGTTGTCCTTCCCACCCCCCACCCCGGCACCTCCGATCAGCACGGTTGGCGACTAGGTAAGGTGCGAAAGAAGTTCAACGTACAGGGCCCTACCGAGAAGAAGTCTCGAGACTCGATGAGGACTTGTTGACTATGCGAGCGCAAGTAATGTTCATGATAATAATCACAATAACACTAATGCTGAATTCTGCACGTGTAGATGTCGTCTGTTCAACTTCGCCTCCCTAACTCGTGGCTGCAAGAGACACCTCGTCGTCTGTCACTAGACCCTAATACCTCGTCTGTCACGAGCCCTGAACCCCAGACACCTCGTCTGTCAATAGCCCCTAACCCTCACCCATAATCGCAATCATCTCCCAAACACTGAAAACTTAACCCCGAACTCCAAGACGGCAACCCTCCTAACTAACCGCTGGCGCTAAATGCCCAGTGGTTGCCAAGCGCGCTGGTACGGTCGCTCCCCAATGGAGAACGCCGGTTACTTAGGCAGTCATACAGAGAAGTCACGTGTCCACCACTCCAGTCAATGCGGTGTTAGGAAGGCTACGTTTTTTTCATGGCATCATGTATTGGTGTGTGTGTTTTTGTGTAAGGCATTCGTTTCACGTGGTGTATTGGTAAGGTATTCCTTTAAAGTTGTGTATCAGTGTGTTCCTGAGGCATTAGTTTCACGTTGTGTGTGAGTATGTTTTGTGTGAGTAAGGAAATTGCTCCAAGTCGGAGCTTGAAGTGTGTGTTGTGTTTCACGTTTGTGTATAGGTGTGTTCTGTCACCACAACGTGTCCACTGATGCACCCTACGCACATTCGAAATTTCCACCTACACGGTATCCATGCTGCAGTCTGCGTGCCTCCCGAAAGGCTTTCATGCGGGGCAATGCGACCCACGGATTTAGAAACTGCCGTCTGAAACCCTAACTCCTAACCTGAAACCCGAAACCCGAACCTTAACCCCCAACTCTAACCACCAACTCTGACCCCCAACTCTGACCCCCAACTCTGACCCCCACCTCTAACCCCCAACTCTCACCCCCACCTCTAACCCCCAACTCTGACCCCCAACTCTGACCCCCAACTCTGACCCCCAACTCTGACCCCCACCTCTAACCCCCAACTCTGACCCCCAACTCTGACCCCCACCTCTAACCCCAAACTCTCACCCCCAACTCTGACCCCCAACTCTGACCCCCAACTCTCACCCCCAACTCTGACCCCCAACTCTTACCCCCACCTCTGACCACCACCTTTAACCCCCAACTCTAACCCCTAACTCTCACCCCCAACTCTGACCCCCAACTCTTACCCCCACCTCTGACCACCACCTCTAACCCCCAACTCTAACCCCTAACTCTCACCCCCACCTCTAACCCCCAACTCTGACCCCCAACTCTGACCCCCACCTCTGACCCCCAACTCTGACCCCCAACTCTAACCCCCAATTCTGACCCCCCAACTCTGACCCCCAACTCTAACCCCCAACTCTAACCCCCAACTCTGACCCCCAACTCTGACCCCCACCTCTGACCCCAGTTCTTACCCCCAACTCTGACCCCCACCTCTGACCCCTAACCCTACAGCCGTCGCCATGACTACCGCCACTGTTTACTGCGTTGGGCCTCCGTGGTCGTCCTGGTAACGGATCTGCTTGAGCCCAACGGGCCTTACCGGCAGAAATAATAATAACAACAATAACTAAAATAATAACTAAAATAATAACAATAAAAATAAAAACAACAACAATAACAACAATAATAACAATAAAAACTAACAACAACAACAACAAAAACAACAATACTAACAACAATAATAGCAACAATAATAACAATAACACCTGGGTCTGATTCTGAACTCACCGTACGTAACCTTACACTCAGCACTCAAAACTGAAGGGAACCAATTGTCCCTTCATCAGCTCCGAGGTAAAGCTCTGGGAATCCAACGGAAGCTCTTTGGGTAGAAGAA